AGAGGAGGATTGCTTTTCGCGAAGCTGCAATGGATCCTTTCCCTGAACAAACGAACGGAGAAATGTGCGTTGCTTGTTTGGAGGATGCTCAGATGATGGCTCCTTGCGGCGAACACAATTACTGCTACCCTTGCTACCGTGAACTCATTCGACTCGGTCTTAGTTCTCAAGAAGGCTTTCCGCCGAGATGCTGCGAGCCTATCGACGAGGCGGGTGTTGCGCTTGCACGCGCCCCTGCTTTGATTCATCTTTTCCGCCAGGTGCAAGAGGAAGCCAATGCGCCGATCCACGATAGACTATACTGCCACGACCCTAACTGCGCAGCGTTCATTCCACCTGACCGCAACGGGCGCTGTTTGTTATGCGTTACACAAACATGTCGCGATTGCGGTGAGCGAGGCCATCCAGGTCAGCCCTGCAGAGAGGGAGCCGCCGAGGAAGATGTCTGGGCCACCATGGACGAGAACAAGACCGTTAACTGCCCCGGGTGCGGAAGGATGATCGAGCTTGCGGAGGCGTGCAACCACATGACATGCGTATGCGGCCAAGAGTTCTGTTTCATTTGCGGTGAAATATGGCGGACCTGCGGCTGTCCCACATATGGAGGCTTTAACCGTATGGTGCCCATGAGGGACCGCCCAGGTACGAAGCCTCCGCAGTATCGTCGTCGCCCACACCCTATCGACGCGGCGGCAGCGGCGGATGAGGCTGATGGACCTGCGAGAATCCCACAGCTGCGGCCTATTCCTGGTGAGGAGGAACGTGTTCCGCCTCAAGTTGGGGGACCGCGGAGGGTTATTCGACCTTTGGTGTCGCCCCGTGTTGAGGAAGCGCAGCAACCGCAGGAGCAAGACCGTCGTGGGGCATATCATGGAAGGGAACGTCAGCATGGCGAAGGACATGAAAGGAATAACCATGGACAAAGACATCACCACGGCGAAGGACATCATCATCATCATCATCATGGAGAAAGACACCATCACCATCACCATCACGGAGAAAGATATCATCATGGGGAAAGACGTCATCACGATGAGATAATTCGTAATGAATTAGAACGCGAACGACTTCGCAGACGAGCCGAACTAGAAGCTCCTGTGCCGATGGGGCTACGGAGAGAAACTCGGATGGTAGGTCGTCCACCCGCTGCCCCTCTCCTAGCTATGTTGCCTGAGAACGTGATGTATCCGGGAAATATGGGAACAGCTAACCAAGGTGTCGGTGTACAGAGAGAACATGCGCCTGGAATGCGAATGGATCGCCGGCGCGACGACGGCGGTCCTCCCCTGGATGTTCTCATGCCGGGCATGGGCCGCTTGCAGATCAACGAGCCGCACATGGAGAGACCACCTGTGAGAGATGAACGTGCTATTCCTAGGAATTATAGGCCAGGGGAAGGTCCGCATGAGATGTATCACCAGGGTCGCTTGCACAACGAGAGAGACGCGCCGCGCCGACCCTATAATCCGATGGACGCCCCTCAGATAGACAGGCCTCAGATGTTCGCGCCGCGCCGACCCTACAATCCGATGGATGCGCCTCAGATGGATAGGCCGCCCCGTGTGGAGGCATACCTTGCGGTAGACGCTGAAGCCAGGCGCACAAATCAGAACCGGCTCCTTGCGATGAATCGTGAAGCGGCTCGCTTGGCGGAGTGGCAACCTCCCCGCCAGCAGGGCAGGAATCGCCCAGGGCATCATGGAGCTCATCACGATGACCCGATATTGATCGACTCTGACGATGATCTGTACGGTGATAATTGAGGCTACGGTCCTCGTCGTTGAGCAAGGTAAGAGATCGATGCCGTCTTGCAGATCGCAACCCCTTCAAGGTACGGAGCTTTGGCTCAACTACAAACTTGATCTCTTTAGAACAGTGTGCTCTTATGCTAATTGAGGGCTGGTGTTGCAGTCGCGATAGAAGAGAGGTGAGACGATGCCTTAGACATTTTGGAGGGTGGTAACAAAGGCCCTCGCCTGATCGGCCTTGCTCAGGATATGGCGATTTTCTGGCGCCTCAGGTAGATAGAAGGTGAAATAGACTCTCGCGATATATGAGAAATTTAAGATTTACGACTCTGTCTTCTTTTTGAGGTTGCTTGACTACTTGCTTCTACGCGACCGATGACTCTTGGACAGCTGCTTATCACTGCCAACCTGATGCAACTCCCCGATGATAACTGACCTGCCAGCGCAGCATGGGGCTGTTTGCCATGAACTGATAAAAGAACATCACTTTCGAAGGCCCAATACTCTAAAGTTGGCCATTTTATGTGTGAATAGAAGAGAACAAAGGCTTAGAACAAAGGCGTTCGCTGGCGTGACTTACATCAATTAGACAACAACCATGGGACTTCAACACAAAGAGATTTATAACAATGAAGACATGCATACAAAAACACAGACTTTTCATTTTATATCATCGTATCTAGCTACTAACACTCACTTCGAACTCTTGCCAAGGCTCTTCTTGATCTCTGCCACGACCGCAGCCGTGACCTCCTTGGTAGTCGCCTTTCCACCGAGATCTTGTGTGAGAACACCCGAAGCAGTGACATTCTCAACACACTCCATCAACTTGGTCGAGGCCTCCTCCTCACCCAGCCATGCGAGCATCTCAGCTGCTGTCCAAAAGGTAGCTACTGGGTTGGCGACACCCTTGCCGGTGATGTCGAACGCAGAACCGTGGATGGGCTCAAACATAGATGGGTTCTCACGGCTGGGGTCGAGGTTGCTTGTTGGTGCGATGCCGATTGAACCAGCGAGGGCAGCGGCCAAGTCAGAGAGGATATCGGCGTGCTAGAGTCTGTTAGTTCAACGACTTCAAGATAGAGGGAGGGTGACTTACCAAGTTGCTAGCAACAATGGTATCAATGCTCTCAGGCTTCAGAACCATCTTCGTAGTCATAGCATCAACCAACATCTTCTCAACAGTAACATCAGGAAAGTCCTTCGCCACCTCCGCAGCAACCTCATCCCAAAGAACCATGCCGTTCCTCTGGGCATTGCTCTTAGTAACAACGGTCAAATGCTTTCTAGGTCTCTTCTGCGCAACCTCAAATGAGAAGCGAATGAGTCTGCTAACAGCGTGACGAGTGAAGATGGCGACTTCTGTGGCAACTTCCCAGGCGTGACCGCGATGCGAGCGACCGCCTTGGCCGGCATATTCACCTTCACTGTTCTCGCGGATGATGACCCAGTCGAGGTCTCCGGTCTTGCAGTTACGCAGGGGAGATTGTGTGCCGCGCATGATGCGTGTTGGGCGGACATTGGCGTATTGTTGGAAGGGCTGGCAGATTGCCAGACGAAGTCCCCAGAGGGAGATATGATCAGGGACATCTAGAAGAATGAGTATCAAGTTTGATCAGAACATTTAGTAGACTTACCAGGAGCTCCAACGGCACCAAAGAGTATAGCATCGTGCTTCTTCAACTGCTCAAGACCACCGTCAGGAATATACTTCCCCGTCTTCTTGTAAGTATCCGAACTCCAATCATAGTGAGTAAAGTCAAGATCAAAAGTCTGGAGAGTATCGGCCAGAGCGTTCAAAGCCTCAATACCAGCAGAAATGACCTCAGGACCGATTCCATCAGCGGGGATAGAGGCAATGCTATAAGACTTCTTAGTGGTGACTGCGGAGGGAGACATGATGAGTTTTGTAAAGACTCGTTATGAGGATTGAAGATGCTGATGAGTTGTCTATAAGATAGATATGTTATACACTTATATACCAAGATGTCGGATTGGGAGTATGTTTTGTGTGGAGGAGGGCGGACATTTCTAAGTCCGCTGCAACTTCGCCTTGCCCGGTCCGGGAAAGGAAGTGAGCGGCGCTCCAAGTCCGTTGCGATTGACGCTTTTCCGTGAATAGTGGCTTATGATGCGGGGAATGAATGTCCATAACTTAGAAGAGTGCCAAAGTTGATATGAGGGACTTTTCTTTTCCTTGTCTTTCATGATATCTTGAAGGATAATACTTTTTTATCACTTCCTCTTCCCTTGTCGATTTAATTACGAAAACCCCAATATCCTACACCTAACTAGCCATGATTGATCCAAAAGCCATTGATACGGTGCTGGACATCTTTGTCCCTGCTATCCAAGCTCATCGGAAGAACTCCTCAAGGCCATTCGTTCTAGGCCTTTCTGGTCTTCAAGGCAGTGGCAAATCGACATGGGCTGCAGCTCTTTCACAAGCCCTCACGAATCAACACCATCTCAAGACTCGCATGATATCCCTGGATGATCTCTATCATGACCACCCAGAACTTGTGGCCCTTCGAGAAGCGAACCCAGATAATGGTCTTCTGCAAACTCGTGGCCAACCTGGAACTCACGACGAAGTTCTGGCGAAGGACTTCTTCGACCAAGTTCTTGGTCGGCTCGAGAGTGATAAGAAAGTTGTTAAATGGCCAGCTTTTGACAAGAGCCTTCATAGTGGTCAGGGTGGAAGGGTCCCCGTTGAGAAATGGGAAGAAGTTCAGCTGGATGAAGGCCTTGATGTTTTGATCTTTGAGGGCTGGGCACTTGGCTTCAAACCTTTGACTGACGAGGAAGTCAAGAGGAAGTGGGAGAAGGCTAAAGCTTTAGAGGCACAGCAGTCTGAGGAATGGGCTCTTACAAACACGCTGGCAAGCCACAATCTAAGCCATCTTCTGCTCATCAACGAGAACTTGAGAAGATATTGTGAGACATTCGCTGGACCACAGCACTTTGATGGGTTTCTACATCTGAGTACAGACAAACTCGTTCAGGTTTACGAGTGGAGGTTAGGCCAGGAAAGGGCCTTGAGACAGCACAAGCCGGGCATGACGGACGAGCAAGTCATCAAGTTTGTGAAGGGGTATATGCCTGCTTATGAGCTATTCCTTGAGCGTCTCCAGAACGAGAACTTCTTCAAGGGTGAGGGATCGAGTGAGAAGAAGCATATACAAGTGGTATTGGACAAGAACAGGACAGTAACCCAAGTGAAGGAGGTATAATGTATTAATATTAGTGATACTATCTTAAGTAATTCCAAGTTGGATCAACAGAAGCGTCAAACTCCGCATTTACAAGAAAGGGATTGTCGATAGCGCTGAATGAACTTGCAAAGAGCTGATCATACCACATCATTGACTCATGGCCTTCTAGTGGTATGTTATCCAAGTTCATACCAGGTCCCTCTGGATTCAGTGAAGTGTTTGGTGTAGATAGAAAGTCATTGGAATATGGTGCTTGAGGATTCTGGGGTTGCGAGTAAGGTATGTCTTGAGGTAGGATACCCGTAGAATGATACGTTGTCCTTGGTCTTTTTTGTTGTGGTCTGAAAGGCTGAGTGGATGATAGTCCTTGGAATGCTTGGGTATTGGAGGAGGCGTTTTGAGGGATAGAGTTTGGGCTTTCTCTTGTTTCAGTGCCATGAGATTGAGCATGCTGTGTTCTTGGAAGTCTTGTGGGGGTTGTATTTTCACCACCCCGTACTTGACTTCCGACGCTAGGTGAGAAACTACGCGTTGTGATGATGGCATCTACCGGAGATTCAATCATCGTGGGCCGCTCTTGGGAAAGTTCTTGCACCGTGGAGGTGAGTTCATCAATGGCCCCGAGGCAGTATTCTGGCCACGATGTATCTCGTGCAGCCAGATGACCAAGGATGTCCTTGGCCGCAGCAACATGCCTGAAAGAGTCAGTAAACAATGAAAGACTGGAAAAGGAGATGACATACTTCATTGCACTACCCAAATGGACCTGCTTTTCAAAGGCAGCATGAATAAGGACAAATGCACTGATCCATATCGACCATGTGAAGGAAGGCCACAACAACGGTGCTTGAGACTTTGCACTATTCGAGTCTACAGATAACTGATGGCGGTTTCGATGTTTCTTGAGGATTATCAAGATAGACTTGGCAGCTGAGATGCAGGCTTGAAAGGCGGATGAGTACGAGGAAGAAGGATGTTCTGAAGCGAGTCCAGGTCTATTCAAGCATATTGCCGACTCATGTTTCAGCACCAAGACCATAACCTTGTGATGTTCAGATATTGCTGGAGTAGTCGAGCTTGCATCGGCCAGATCGTCCTCTTCTACTGCGTCCTGAATTTCATTAAACCATTTCGCCAGCTCAGCTTGAACAAACGCTGTTCGATCTGCAGTATCTTGTCGTTGTAGCATGGACTTGTTCCTGAGCTCGAGAATGAGTCCGCGTATGCGAGCATGCTTTGCCACGAACGTAAGGAGTTGTAATCTTTCCGGATTTTCTTCCCTGTTCGTTATTGTATGGCGTTCCTCACCGGGATAGCAGACATCCAGGTCGTCATCTCGTATATCGAGAGGTAACCCGAGAGACTGGCAAAGAAGCCTCTCTAGTATGTAGATGCACCAGAAAACCCTTCGCCGAACTGAAACTTCCTTGTCTGTGAAGAAGGGATATCGCGCAGGGCATCGATGAAGACCCATGTGAAATGCAGTTCTGACGATGAGTCCGCCTAACCGTGACGCGGCGTTGAGACAAAGCATCGAAGTCAGGAACAACTGAATAGCCAAAGCTGCCTGGGTTGAACGGATTGACGCCGGCTGGCTTAAAGCAAATTGTGAGCTCGCCAACGCATCGTCGACGCTGTTGAAGAGATATACTTTTGGGATGGGCTTTTTGAAAGGAGTGGCCTGTCGACTATCCGCGAGCGATATAGAAAGAACAGACTTCAAGATGACCATATCGATAGGGTCAAGCAATAGCGTTCCATTCTTAGCAACCTCTTCAAATAACCCCAGAACATGAGGCCCGTGAAGGAACGGAAGAACAGGATGCCATGCCTCGAAATAGCTCTTGGACCACTCGACCAAGTTTTCAAAGGTATCACTTGTGTCATTTCCACAGACTTCATCATCTTTCCAAAGAAACTGCTCTCGATTTCTTCTTATTGAGGCATCTTGACGAAGTTGATCGTCTTCACCGGGAATAAGCGTGTTTATCGTCGAAGACCCAGGTTCTGTAGTTCTTGATGCTGATCTCTTGGCAAGACGAAGATGAACAGCACGAATATAATGAATTCCACTGCCACTTCCTACAAATCGAGCGGCATCGTGCTCGCCTGTATCGCGCATCAGTCCATATTCGCGTCCAGGCTGTGAAGTCGAGTGTTTCCGTTTCTGGCCTTGAGGTTCAGAGTGACCTAGTGTTGAGTGAGATGCAGTCTCGATATTATCGTACGGTGAGTGATGAGAAGACATCTTCACACATCATCCTCAGTGAGGATTGGATGAATTGGAATTGACGATGCTGGGGACTACCAAGCGAGTAAGCTGAAGCTGCAAAAGTGCTAGTGTCGCGCCCGGACAAAGAAAAGGCCGACGCGGGGTTGAACAAGTCATTCTGCCTGTGGAGCGACGTTTTGACTCTGGGGAAGAACCCCGATCGATTTACGGACGCTGCACAAGGATTGGTCCTTGTGTAAGTGAATTGCTTTACATGGCGAATAATGAGGCTTCGGTTGAGCAAGAGGTTGAGAGGCAGTTGAATCCGATAGCGTGTAGCCATTGTCGGCAGCGGAAACGCAAGGTGAGATCTCATCCCCCAGTCACAATTCTGGGGAAAAGAGAACGCTTTTTACTAAATTGAGCACACGCTAGTGTGATAGGCAGCTGTAAGTGTTTCATATCCCCACGGGAGAGATCGTCGTGCTGACGGCTCTTGTTGAGGCCGCATTGTTTGCAGTGCACCAATGATCCTACCAACTGCCATTATCCAGAACAAAACAAGAGGTATCACTACCATGACTACTCATATTGACACCTATAATACTGATAAAACATCAGAGGTCTACCAATTGGGTTCATTACAAGACTAGAAGCTCGCCTTGCGGAGACAGAAGAAGCTCTCTTTCGGCTTGTACATTCTATCGATGAACCCAACAACAATCATATTTCACTCAAGCCTTCATCACAAAGAAAAGACGACCGTATAAGAGAATGGGACAGTCTTCCCCTCAGAAATGTGGACGAAATAAGAGCATGGTATCGAAGTAGATCAGAGCAAACTCACTCACCAGCCCAGCACGACGATTTGATGGATGAAGACCAACGTGCACGATCCATTCATGCCACACCACCCGAATCAGAGACTGTGGACTTTCAAGATGATGCCGGAGATGATGGAGGGGAAACAATTACATTGCAAGATGCTGATGACGATGTTATGCCGAGGAATGATATTCATATCCAGGAGGTGTCTGGCGGGAGCAAAGCCAAGGAAATGGAGCAGAAACATCCAAATATGTACTTTTAGAGCATATATTATTTAATACTACGTCACTGGTGACATAGGAAGGCCTAAAGAGCCACAAACACCGTAGATAATCTTCACATTGTGTCTTTGTCTGCTCTGAGAATCCATATCCTAACTCAAAAGCCTTTCACTATGGCCACTTGGTCTCTTCCAACCGCTTGCCAGGATCACCATACATACTCTTGATCAAATAAAGGAACAGAATCATCTAATTTATTTTAGTAGAAGGATTTCTTGCGGGGAGCCAGCTGTGATTACGTCAGATGACAGGTTGTCAGGATGATGCTTGGTTTTTAGACCTGTTTTCAAGGCGAAGTCCTAGTTATGTAAAAGGTCTGATTAAGGTGATTCAAATCCTCTGAATCTAAGTCTAGTTGGAAGTTGATAGGAGCTACGAACTGCTATTTTCGTTTGCCTATAGCTCTGAAGGATGCGTTATTATTCTGCTACAATTTTAGATCACCGAAGTCGTGTCCACGCGTTGAAGGATCCAGCCCTCTCCCCATGTCGAATGCCTAGTCTCATAAATTTAACGTAGTCCTTCGTTGTGGAAGAAGAGATATCCACTATAATAGGAAAAAGTCTATTCTTATCCAGCGGCTCTGGCATCCTCGGGCATAAATGGAATAATTTGATGCTAGCAAGCATTGCAAAGCAACAGATCCCGAGTCCTGTGTGCTTCTGAGGCACTTTCTATCCTAAGCGTAGCTTCTTAGTCATGTTTAACTCAAAGAATTATATCCAAGAACCTAATGGATTGGTCACTTTAGATTGATTAGTCAAAGAGAGGCCTCTGGAAACTCTCGGCCATTGGACGGGCTCGATGAGGGCGTCACCATTAGATAATGGCATGTCTTAGCAAAATGGCGTCCACAAACAGCCAGCTCAAGTACTAGCTTGAATTTAAGCTCAACTTTATGAAGTTACCACTTCTCACAGTATGAAGAGTTATCATGCAGCAATGCTAGACGTGGATCCAGCGACAAGTCAAGGATCATGAAGAGCTAAACATCCGCGTGAATGCCTTTTGGTGACCGATTACGTATAACTTTAGCCCTAGAGAATCGACTAACAGAAGATTCTGGCATTAAATTACGATAAAATTCAAAACATCGGGGGCGGAAAACACAGTACGGGAAAATCCGCCGCTGGCGAGTCTGAGCTGTAAACCATCCTTCAATCCAGCTGATGCACCATCTTCTCAGCTCCAATAATCATCCTCGAGGGATAAGCCATGGCGTAGCGCAAGTGCTTTTGACTGACCGCTTATTGCCATGCTAAGGCTTAGTACGTGACACCAAGACTTTGTCTCTGTAGTAAGCTGATATTTTCCGTTGCACAAGTACCATCATAGCATGCATGACCGACAGCCCGATGGATGCTCGGCGTAAGCTGTCCTTGCAAGGTAACAGAGCTCCATCTGAGCTGCTGCGCCATGGCCCCCGAAGAACAATTAGACTCGGCAGTGAGCTGAACCGAGGAAACATCATCGACTTTAGTGACAATAAGCTTGAATCTTAGTCCACTGAGGCTTTCCATTCTAAATGCCGAAGACCCGAAGAGCTCTCCCTCGAAAACAAGTAAATCATGAGCTACAATTTACTAGACCTACTGCTCCAATGATTGCCCATCTTGACCATCCACCAAAGCATGGGAATGTTGGCAATAGCTTCGACAGCTCAAGCTAAATGCCACTAAAAGCGATACAGGGCTGTAAAGACCAGTCCAGACCATTTGGACGGCGTAGTTACTCTCTGCTGCGGAAATTTCACTTTACCTAATTTGCACCGAGTCCTTAAGCTTAAAATAGGGCTAATGTGATCTTGATTCTTGGGGCTGAGGGGCTGAGCCCGATCTGACGGCTTATTCTTGTGAGGGCTGTGAGACGTCACAGCCTCCTCCGCTGAGAGTCGGAGACTAAGCATACAGAGTCTTACTGCATTCAGACAGCTTCACTCGACATGCAAATCTTGTATAAGAAAGCAACGAATTCTCGTCGAAATGGGTTTCCTCCTTCTCATCATCACATCACAAAACATCAAATCAACAACAACTTTTTTCCTTTTTCTCTCTTATTTCCTTATTTTCCTTTGTCAGGTCTTATTTCCTTACAAACCTTCGCTTCTTCTCAGTCATCTGCTACAGTTTCTTCATCACCTTTCCAAACAAAAACTGTTTTAATTCTTTCGACAAAAGCTCATAACATTATGCATTCTACAATCTTTGCTCTTGTTGCCGTTGCTGGCTATGTCTCCGCTGGACCTACCGCCCGCTCTCAAACCGAGTGCTCAGGCGTTGGCCAGTTCTATACTTGTGCGAACAATGGTTTCCGCGGTTATTGCTCCGTTGATCCCTGTGCCATAAAGTGGTGCACTGATTTCGTCGAGGGTACTTGCGATCCCGTCTTTATCACCAAGCCTGTTGATGCTACCGAGACCGAGGATTGCTCTGAACCTACCGAGACCGGGGAGGGAGAGCACTGGGAGCCTGAGACTACTCCTGCTTCTCTTCCCGAGGGCCAATGTGCTCCTGGCACTGGATTCTTCCAGGTCTGCTCCAACGGGTTCAAGGGCTGCTGCAAGTCCGACGCCTGTGCTGGCAAGGACGCTGTCTGCCCTGATGACAAGAAGGTCAAGCGCGCTGATGACCCAACTGTCTGCGCTCCCGGTACCGGTTTCTTCCAGTCTTGTTCCAACGGCTTCAGAGGCTGCTGCAAGTCTGACGCTTGTACCGGTACCGCTGGTGTCTGCCCCGATAACAAGTCCGAGGCCCCCAAGCCTAAGCCTGAGACCTGGGAGCACAAGCCCGAGACTACCACTGAGACTGCTCCTGCTTCTCTCCCCGATGGACAGTGTGCTCCTGGTACCGGCTTCTTCCAAGTCTGCTCTAATGGCTTCCGCGGCTGCTGCAAGTCTGATGCCTGCTCCCAATCTCAGCCCATCTGCCCTGACACCATCGCCAAGCGCTCTGACGATCCCACTGTCTGCGCCCCCGGCACAGGATTCTTCCAGTCGTGCTCAAACGGCTTCCGAGGCTGCTGCAAGTCCGACGCCTGCTCCGGCTCCGCTCCCATCTGCCCAGATACCGTCGCCAAGCGCTCCGATGACCCCACCGTCTGCCCTCCCGGAACCGGATTCTTCCAATCCTGCTCCAACGGCTTCCGCGGCTGCTGCAAGGGCGATGCCTGCGGTAACACCTGGTGCCCCGACTACAAGACCGGCACCTACGAGCCCGCCCAGACATTCAAGGTCAAGGCTCGCTCTGATGGTACTTGCCGCCCTGGCACCGGTTTCTTCCAGGTCTGCGCCAACGGCTTCAAGGGATGCTGCAAGAAGGACGCTTGCTCTCAGAAGAAGCCCGTCTGCCCCAAGTAAGAAGCATCAATTTTCCACATTTTCCAGTAATGGTTTTACATTGGCATAGCGTTGCATAGAACATTACTAGCGTGCATAGATAGATATGGCGTTTGTCGATTTTTGTTTGGAACCGTCCTTGATGAGTTATTATGGCATTGATTGAGCTACTATTCTTGGTATTTACTTATTTAGAGCGTTGATTTTGTCGGACACGATAAAAATCTAACTAATACACTCCTTTAAAAATTTGAGTCTGCTGCTTGATTCTGTGAACCATTGATGAGTCGAAGTTTCCGACATGCCTCGCGAAGGCCTCGCCTCGGTGACTGTAAAGACTGTCTGCTCAATTACCAAGCCGCTTAGCCATGTTCATTCTGCTGCAGTATTTGCATCTGTGATTGAAGGAAGCCTCCTCTCTGGCCCGTTGCCGACAAAGTTGTTCCACCGTGACATTCTGACAACCCCGGTTGCAGCCGCCACAACCAGGAGAGCAACACAACAAAGAAAGCGTGTCACTTCCCAGCAGCGAAGTTCGTAAACGAGTTCCCATATAGATAACGGAAGGGCCACAGCCAAGAGTAAGATTTGGTGTAAGAACGCTGCTTTAGTGGCTGATTTAAGCCGATCGACGCTGATGATCCACCCGCGAAAGAACCATGGCAAGACAAACAAGGCCAGAGACAGAAGTACCATGACAGTTTGAAGAAGTTGGTTATCAACTTCCCAAAGACGCTGGGTATATGTAAGCCATAACGCAGACTCTAGGTGCAACCAGAGAAAAGTGGGCGGTGTAAACTTGTCGAATGCTCTTAGAGGTCGTTTGGTTCGAGGGCTATCGTGCCTGGAGCCAGGTATTTCGCATTCCGAGGTAATGAAGTCTAACAGGGGAGATAATATCGGTATTGTGTGCATGGTCTCAGCACGGCGATACTGTTGACGTTGCGATGATCTTGTTGAGTTGGGCGGGGTTGAATCTTGGCCGTAAATATCTAGCTGAGTTCATAACCCTATGACGAATGTATAGCTTGGCACTTTGGAGCACAGATTTTTTCAGCTAAGAACCATCCTTTTTGAGACCGTTAGTAAAAATGCTGTATAAAATATGAACTTATTCTTGGGATGCGGTCTAAAACCTGTCTAAGACTTGAATCGATCAGCTCCAGCCTTCAAGATCATCTCAAACAGTTCAACATCTTTCCGAGCATCCGCCGCACTTGTCTTAGGCACTTTCCCTCCAACAACGCAATCATAAAGATCTAGCATCTCCAATGTATACGGATCCTCATACGTCTTTCTAATAATTCTCTCTTGGAATCCACCCTCACCAATCTTCTCTCGAATCGTCATAACCACAGGAAGGCCCTTAACGTAAGGAGAGTCAAAGTTGACTCTTACGATTTTGTTGGCTGAGTAGACTTCGATGTGTGCATCGAACTGAGGTACACCACTGAGACCTGATTCATATGTGACGGGGAAGTCATCGTATTGAAATAGTACGCTGAAGATCCCGGGGAGGGTTAGCACGGCGCCGGCGACGAATTTGGGCATGCCGAGAATCTCGCGCATTGCTGAGAGGTCGTGGGTCCCAAGGCTATATCATAAGTCAGCACTGATATTACATTTTATGGTTAATATAACTTACGCTCCCAGAACTCTTAGCATTCTTTGCGATTGGGGTGTACTGGGCACTCCAAACTCTTTAACAAGAGCTTGCTCGAAGATATCGGCCTCCCGTCGGCTTCTATCCTGACCATCTTCCTCGGTAAAGTCATTAAACTTTTGAGGAAACGTGCCATTCTGCTCAACGAAGGTAGAGTTAGGTCCGATGATGTCCCTCACTCTAGCATACTGAATCTTCTCCATGCCACCAACCTCTGCCACGGCATCGATAAAAGCAGTAGCGTAGCGTCGCATCGTTCCAACAAACACTTTGCCCTTTGAAGCCTTCTCCGCTTCAATAAGTCTGTCTATGTCTCGGAAGCAAGTCGCAGCTGGTTTCTCAATAAGACAGTACTTGTCATTATTGAGAGCTAGGATACCGTGCTCGACATGGTATGCGTCTGCGTTGGCGATCAAAACCACGTCGACATGAGGTGAGGAGCAAAGTTCTTCAGGGTTGGTGGTTGTCTTGGGACTACCGCCCTGAACTTTGGTGGCGCAGTAGGCTAGAGCTTGCTTGGAGATATCGCAGAGATAGGTTGTTTGGAACTTATGGGAGAGAAAGTTGATGTTAGGAATATGGGCGACTTGCGAGATCTCTCCGCAGCCGATGATTCCGACCCTGAGGATGCGATCTGATGTGCTTGACATGGTGATAAGTGATAAAGGTATTGAATGAATAATTGGCCTCAAGGACTGTAACAAAAAGGGTATAAGTTCAAGTCTAGATGAGTTAAAGAAGAGCTATTTATCCTTCATCTCGTCTGTCATCAATACGTAGTACCCTGCAGGTTACAGTATCACTGCATTCCCCACATACCGCTACTCCCCGACACCAAAAGAGCATTCAGCTCCGCTACTCCGCGAAAGGATCATGACTCGAGCCCTGGCTTCGGACCATGCTAAAATGTAACCATACTTTATCTTCTTCCCCACGGGGTCACCAAGTTTCCTCGGTTACAGGGAACGAAAATTCGGGGTCTAGATGAGGGAGGATCCCAATTCTTTAAAAGGAGCTTATCATCCCCTCTTTTGGATCTCTTCGTTCCTCAAACCATCAAGTTATTGTGGTTCTTTGACGTGCTAATCTTACTGTCTGATCTTGTATCTTTCACTTTGACTTGAGATCATGGGTGTCTTTTCACGCAAGAAGGAGGCCGAATTGGCTGTTGGATCGGAGCTCTCACGAGTACGACGCCTCATCCCCCCCTCGTTCTTCGTTTCACAAACTAACGATTATTCTATACAGGTCCTCCCTGAGAATCCCAAGCCATGGTACATGACTTGGCATCTGATCAAGCTCAACCTATGTCTTTTGGTGCCTCTATTCTCTTCCGCCTCCGTCGGCTACGATGGTATACTCTCTTCCTCTTCATAGCATCAAGCCCAACTCTGACATGGCTCAGGGTCAATGATGAACGGCCTCCAAACCCTGCCCCAATGGCGCGAGTTCTTCGGTAGTCCAGAGGGCGCGCTTCTGGGACTCATGAACTCTGTTTATCCCCTCGGCAAAGTCATCTCCCTCTTTGTGGTAGCTTATATCTGTGATCGCTGGGGACGCAAGCTCCCTATTCTTATTGGTCTCATCACCTGCATTGGCTTTGCCACTCTACAGGGTCTTTCGCAGAACCTACACAGCTTTATCATCGCGAGAGCCTTCTTAGGTTTCTTCACTAGCTTCATCGGTCAGCCTAGCCCTATCATCATCACTGAGCTTGCATACCCGACGCAGCGAGGCAAAGTTACTGCTTTATACAATACGTTTTTCGTAAGTCTGGGGTCTAGCATATTCGGACTATTGGGTGGTATGCTAATCGTGTATCTCGATTCTAGTACTTTGGCTCTATTTTCGCTGCTTGGTGTACTTATGGTACCTTCAAGAACCCGACAACTTGGAGCTGGCGAATTCCGTCTCTCCTGCAAGGTGCATTGCCTGTCATTCAGCTTTTGGGCCTCTATTTCCTGCCAGAATCCCCCAGGTAAGAATGTCATTTCAATCTAAGACTTCCTAGAAGCTGACGTAACCTACTCAGATGGCTCGTTTCCAAGGGCCGCAAAGAAGAAGCTCGAAAAGTCCTTGCCGAGTTCCACGCTGGCGGCGATCTCGAGTCTCCCCTCGTTGAATTCGAGATGCAAGAAATCGAACTGGCGCTTACCCAGGAAGCCGACGCCATTTCCGCCGTCTCGTGGGCTGAACTATTCCGCACTCCAGCTAATCGCAAGCGCACGCTTATTGCTGTCATTGTTGGCTGGTTTGCTCAGTGGAACGGCGTCGGAGTCGTCAGCTATTACCTTGTTCTGGTTCTCAACACGATCGGTATCACCAAAGTCAAGGACCAGACCCTCATCAACGGACTTCTTCAGATCTTCAATTGGCTCGCTTCGACTTTCTTGGGAGCCATGATGGTTGATCGACTTGGCCGGCGGACTTTGTTCCTGCTCTCCACGGGTGGCATGCTCGTCTCTTATATCATCTGGACCGGTCTTACTGCGCACTTCGTCAGCAGCCATGATGAATCTACAGGCCGTGTGGTGGTAGCTTTCATCTTCATCTTCTATCTTTTCTATGACATCGCCTGGACACCACTTCTCCAAGCCTACCCTGTCGAAATCTTTCCGTATACCCTCCGAGGACGTGGTCTTTCCATCACCTATATCTCGTCTTTCACTGGCCTCATTGTCGGCAACCAGGTGAACCCAATCGCTATGAAGGCCATCACCTGGAAATACTACATTGTCTTCTGTTGTATCCTCGCAGTTCTTTTCGTCATCATTTGGTTCTTGTTCCCCGAAACCAAGGGTCATACGCTTGAGGAAATTCGAGAAGTCTTTGAAGGAAAGTTGGATGACCAGGATAAGTTGGCTAGGGTTGAATCTGCTATTGTGGAGGAGAACCCTGGGCAGAAGGGCGGCAATGCAAAGCAGGTTGAGATCGCTAACTAGGCTCCCCTGAACAGTGCTTGGACTCAACTTACGACTATTGATATAATTGGACATTTGAGACGGCGGAAGAATTGTATGAGAAGATGACTTGCAAGTTGATGGTGGTCCTTTATCTTAATCCTAGGCAAATGATGTTTCGATCCAGGTAGCATTCATCGATCAGTTAACTCGGGCTTGAGTGTTTCCAGTCGATTCATCTGCCACTTTGCTATCTTCATGCCTTGATAATTCACAAGAGACGGCGCCAAGTCCTCGGAAATATCATCATTCAAAAAGTCATCGAACATCCGTGGCTGGTCTTAACTTATCCGGATTAAGCTTATCGACCAGACCAGGACCAGGACCAGGGGATCTACCGTTGTTATGCCGGAGGGGGTGAGGTCGTAGTCGGGGAGTAGCGGAGTTACGCTAAAGAGCGGAGAAGTTACTCCAGTTACTCCATCTCGGACTGTATTTAGCCGAAGTTGATGAATGATGTGAATCTCGATGCTTTCGTTTATTATCCTGTAACTTCCGTCCTTTTTACTTCTAATAGTCTTTGTTTTATGCACTTTCTTATCCCTTCTAGAACCTTATCACTATGTCTCAGTCAAAACCAACTCTACGATGGGGTATCATCGGCACAGGCCTGATCTCATCATGGTTCATCCAGGACCTTCTGATTGAGAGGAAGAATGCCCAAGCAACACATCACATTCAAGCCATTGGATCATCTTCCGTCGAGAAGGGGACAAAGTTCATTGAGACACATATGCCAGGACAGACTCAACTTCCCTCTATCTATGGAAGCTATGAGCAAGCTTACCGAGACCCCAATGTTGATATTATATACATCGGAACTCCTCATGGCTTTCACAAGAAAAACTGCCTCGACGCGATTTCGCACGGAAAACATGTTCTCTGCGAGAAGGCATTTACACTGAATGCCAGAGAGGCAAGAGAGGTTCTGGATGCAGCCAAGAAGAAAGGCGTATTCATCATGGAGGCTATGTGGACTCGCTTCTTTCCTCTGGTTAAATCTCTCCAGAAGATCATACATGAGGACAAGGCTGTTGGCGATGTAGTTCGAGTGTTCGCAGACTTTGCCATGAACCAGAACATCGAATCAAAGGGTCCTGAGTCACGGTTGAAAGACCTATCCCTCGGTGCTGGCAGCTTGCTGGATATTGGTATCTACAGTCTGACTTGGGGTCTTGTGACCCTCGATGCAGGTGTAGGCGAAAAAGCAACTACACCAAAGATCATTGCCGCCCAAACTCTCATCGATGGTGTCGACATCGGTACTTCGATCATCCTCTTATATCCCGATGGAAAACAGGGTATCTTGACCTCCAACTCAAAAGTCAAAACTCCAGAGGCTTTCTGCCGCGTCGAAGGGACGAAGGGTCATATCGTTGTAGAAGGCTTCGCGGGTTCAGTCCCTGCGTCATTCACTGTTTACAAGAATGGACAGACTGAGGGGAAGAAATATGAGTTTGAGAGACCTGGTAAGGGATTTTACTGGGAAGCTGATGCAGTGGCACTTGATATTGCTGCTGGCAAGGTTGAGAGCGATACTATGCCGTGGGCTGAGACTATTCGCGTGATGGAGATTATGGATGAGGTTAGAAGGCAGGGTGGTTCCAAATTTCCTCAAGACTAGATAAAAATGGATGATATATACAGTTGTAGATAACATCGGATCGGTAGAGATAAGATTTCTCGGTAAAAATATGATAAGCATGAACCGCTGATTAGACGGTTCAACGTTGATAATGCTCATTGCATGAGAACTAAACGAAGGACTTCCAACATGCAGTAAATAGTCCGCTAGGACAAAAAAAAACTCATGACCTTAATCCTAATCCTAGATAATAGGGAGACTTATGTAACTCAGTATAAGTTTAGGATTCCTTTACTAAATTCTATCAAGGTCCTACGTTTTCTTGCTCCTTGAGGGTCTGCAAGATAGTGTAGAGGGATGTAGGGTATCGTATTTCCCACAGCCAAACACCAGCTAACACAAATTGAACTTAGTGTCCGCTACTCCGCGAGACTAAAGCTGCACTAAAGTCAACCACCACAAACTTAAGATCTCCGCTACTCCCCGACATTCCATCACCTCATGCAAGATCCTTTCCAATTCCTCACTCCACAATGTTCAGCCAGGGCGGTACCAGTTTGTCGGCTCATCAGGGACAGGGCAATAAGCGACAGCGCACAGCAGCCATGTATTATCGCAAACGGGCCGTGACAGCTTGCCAATCTTGCAGACTGAGGAAGACTAAGTGCGACAATGTTCGCCCAGTCTGTGGGTTCTGCTCTAGGAGCGGTGCTCAGTGTGTCTATCCTGGCTCTGGGCCTGATAGTGATTACTCAAGGTTAGTGGCAGACTCATGGTAATTGTACTCTGACTGATGTATTGGATAGTTACGACCCTGCGAGTTTGACCATCCTGGATCGACTTAACCATGTTGTGTCTCTTCTCGAGTCTCGACCTCTAGCAGTACTAGTAAATGATTCAGGGTCCTACGACTCGCCGCATGGAGCATCTAATTTATCAGCAGGGCATGCTAGTATCACGCAGCCATTGCGTGTTGCTCCAATACACGCATCGAGAGACTTGACTACTCTTGTTCCCGAAGATGACGTACTTCAGGCCCTCGACCGCCCCGACTTTCCTTCAGAATCTAACAACTGTGAGAGCATCATGCGGTGGCCTATATTTCAAGGCCTAGTGCCTGAAGTCCACTCCTTCGTTCTGGAGCTAGATGAGGACATAGAAGCAAGGTCTAGTGATGCCCGGGGCGTCTCGGCTGGGAGAGGTGTTCAAGAGGAGGATTTCATTCCTCTCTCAAAACGGTTTCTTGCATACGTGCATGTGAAGAATCCAATTCTGGATGTCAAGGATTATAAGAAGAAGGTCAGAGAAGCAGCTGAGAATGGACCAAGATGGGATGGCGCGTCTTGTCTCGTTGTAAGTACTTACTCAACTCGCTTCGATGAATCATACTGATTTTTTCAAGTTAATATCTTGCGCCATAGCATGTTTGTCGGTGCCATTTCATACGGAGGCAGATGTTGACGGCTCTCCTGCCTCTACTCGCTCATCGACAACCACGTTTGTGGACCCGGATACCGCTGCATCATACTACCTGGCAGCAAAGAAAAGGCTAGGACTACTCCAGCCATCACTCTTATATATACAGTGCTTGTTCCTCTGTGGTATATACGAGATGTACTGCCTTCACCCACTGCAAGCTTGGTTTCACTTCAATCGGGCGTGCGTCGATTTGCGAAACGTTCTGTGGACTCGCAGTCAGAAGAAGTCGAGCCAGGCAACCACACAGGAAACTCGCCGACTTGAACAGAGACTGTATTGGTCTTGTGTCAAAACGGAATAGTAAGTGAATGAAGCCGACCTTTGTCTTTAGATAGCCTAGATTAACAAGCTTGTCACAGTGAATTACGGTACGAAATACCGTTGCCACCAAGCGGTATCGCGCAGTGCGACTATCCAGACATGTTCCCTTCTCCACCAACAGAACTGACCTCTCCGTCGGCCTATGATCGGAGTGACAACTTTGACGAAGATATTGTTCCTGAAGAAGAGAAGAGCTGGTTCTACTACTTGGCAGAAATCTCTTACAGGAGAATGATAAACCAAGCCATGGCTGTGATGGCCCGCAACGGAGAGCAAGGTTGGAGTGATAATATCTCTGAAGCTATGGAGCACTGCAGAGAGTTCAACGGACAGATAGATCTATGGTAAGTCATTTGTTTGACCGTGGATATGACACTAATATTTGCTAGGTATTCACATATTCCCCCTCAGATTGATCCCAAGAACGCAGTCCACGCCAACAATGAATTGGCACAATTTTTGAAGAACCGTGAACTATCCTGTCGAGAATGGATTCACCGCCCATTTCTCTTCTACATACTTCACCAATCACCAGAAGATGAGTACTACTGTCGAGCTGTTCCACTTGCACAAAGGTGTCTGGAGTTGTGTGTAGAGCACCTCTTCCGAACTTATGGGCACAACAGGCATCATGGGACGTGGTATATTGCACGTTCTTGTGTCACTAAAGCTTTGATATTGCTGGCTGCGGCTAAGAGTGGTCGCATACCGCTCCCTTCAGGCTGGAAAGAGGCGTTGGAAATTGCGCGATGGACAGTGAATCGGTGGTCAGGTGAAGCTCCGGACCTTGGGTGGGCCCAAAGAATGTTGGAGGAAATATTGGGAGAGGTTGGAAATCATGTTTAAAATGTATATAAGACTCGATGGCGCAGCGGGGACTGCCTGTAGACAACTGTGTCTCTGATTGGTGGTGTAACCGCTCATCTCTCAGCCGCAGCTAGGCTTGGGCTTATTTTCTCACCTTCACAGCATTATTTCCTTTCTTTTCCGCTTGCACAAATAGGCACTGTATCATACGTATGGCAACCCGAAGATAGAAATGACTAGACCACAATCCGAGGCTGATCGAGGCCAGCTTTACAAATACCGGGCACTCGAGTCTCCACTCCATATTAGGCTAATTCATCTACTGCCTGGCAATCCTGACGAAGATATTCGACTTCGAATCTCACATGAACTTTTGAGGAAACCAGAGCAACCCAGGTCACAGCGCCTATCCTGGAAACAACTGCAAAGAACGCTGCCTTCGGGATGGGAAGTCGTTGAAACCGTCGAAGGCAGATTCGTCTTCATGGGCGAGTCGGACGACGCATCAAGTGAGGAATCTGAGGAAAGTGATGAAAGCAACGAGAGTGATGAAGGAAGTGGGAAGATTCATACTTGGCAGCACCCAGACCCAACCATAGACCCAGCACTGTACGAGCTCCCACCTCTAAATCCCGCACAACCCGCCTTCGAAGCTCTATCTTATGTCTGGGGCCGGCAACGTGACTCTGTGGTAGCTACCATCGAAGGAGAGACAGGTGAGTGCCTGGGAAACATCAAGCTTGGGAAGAATCTAGCTAGGGCACTCAGACACTTGAGAGACCAAGATAAGGAGCGCGTGCTGTGGGTGGATGCTATCTGCATCAACCAAAGCGACGATGTCGAACGGGCCACTCAAGTTCTTCGGATGTCAAGTATCTATCAGGACTGCAGTCGAGTTATCATCTGGATCGGCCCTGAAAAGCACGACATAAGGCTGCTCTTATCTGAGCTGGCTCATATTGGAGCGCAGATTGAGAAGACAACAAACGGTTTGATAATGTCATCACCGGACACAACCGATTTCGATTGGTGGCAGAGCGCTGTACCAGTTTCCTTTTCCGACGAGGTGTGGTCAGCTATGAAAAAGCTCGGTGATCGATCCTGGTTCCACCGTCTTTGGACCGTTCAGGAGGCTATCATGGCGAATCGCGATTCCATAGTCCAGAGTGGCGACGCCATTATATCATGGTCTTTATTCCGTCGTGCAGTTGCATGCCTTCTGCATAAAAACGAAATGCCCATGGCCCGAATTTCTATCAGTGTCATGAGAAGCGTAGCGAAAAACCCGATTGGAGCAACACTGGAACATACTCTGGACGCATATCAAGGCCGGCTGTGTTCAGACTCTCACGACAAGATATATGGATTACTGGCTATTCTTCCTCCGAGGTTTGCGGGTCAGATCAAGCCAGACTATGAGCAGCCTGTTGGCGAGCTATACAAGTCCTGCTTTTTGGCTAGTACCAAGGCTCTTAACCGCTGGGAGCTGCGTGGCCGACCCCGAGACCCGGATGAGGATACTGCCCCCTCTTGGGTTCCTGATCTTTCTGAGGCAGATCCGTATGGCCGGAGAGTATCACACCACTATGCCTCGGGTTGTTCTGCTTTACACTATGAATACCAAGCGCCCAACTTACTAAAGGTAGTTGGCATACGATTCGACACTGTGAAGTCTGTTTCTGAACAGACCTTTGATCATTGGGACGATGGTGAGACAGCAATTGGCTGTATACGATCCTGGGAACCTGAATGTTCTCTCACAGACCCGTATCCTGGTGGGGGCACCTATTTGGATGCTTTTGCGGTTACTTTTATCCAAGACGGAAGAATTGAACGACGTCCTGCCGAAGGATTTTCCCTTGATCATGTCAAGGGAAGGTTCAAAAATGAATTTCTCTCGACAGCTACGACACCGGTGTCAAAGCTAACTCGCGGAGACATGATGGAATACGTCATCTGGACACGTTCTAAAGGTAGAGCAATGGTCACAACTGAGAAAGGTAGTATTGGGTTAGCCTGTACTTTCGCAAAGCCAGGTATGTAGGAAACTATGATATTCAGAATTCATGCTGATAACATCAGGGGATGTGATATGCGTCGTTCTAGGCTGTGACTTTCCAGTACTACTACGACCATGTGAAGATAACACCTGGAAGTTTCTGAGTGACTGCTTCGTATGGGATCTAGAAGCTACACAAGGCCTGCTAGGCCCACTTCCGTCCCCATGGCAAGCCCAGCTATTCTATGATCCCGTTGCCGAACAACGGTCTTACGCCCGCTATCATAACCCCGAAACAGGAGAGTTTACAGCAGAAGATCCAAGGCTGGAACCTCTGGTAGGATGGCAGCGCGTTTCAGTGGAGGAGTTAGGGCGAGACCTTACGGGCGATGACCCGGAAGTGTATGATTTCTTCCGGAATATGGATGATGGTAGAATCGTGGACTCTGATCCAAGGTTAGAGCCAGAAGCTCTTAAGAGTCGGGGAGTGAAACTGGAGACTTTTATTTTAAGCTAGAGCATCAGCGCTCTTCTATGATGGCTAACAGAGAATTATTCATTGGAAGGGTATAGAACTTTCTCCAACGGCACAAACTCCTCCTTGATCGTCCTCGTGCTCACAAACCTCTGCAAATGGGCCATAGTACCAGTCTTATCATTAGTACCCGAATCACGAGAACCACCAAACGGTTGCTGAGCCACCACTGCACCGGTGCACTTTGTGTTAAGATAAAGCATGCCAGCAGCGTGCTTCAAAGCGTTCTGAGCATGGCGTAGTACGTAGGGGTCTTTGGCAAAGATGCTGCCTGTCAGGGCATACCTCGAAGTTGTGTCAAGGAGCTTTAGGGTTTCCTCCCACTCATTATCTGGAAAGACGTAGATGCCGAGGATGGGACCGAACAGTTCTTGTGTCATGATTTCGTGACGAGGGTTGGTAGTCTGGTAGACAGTTGGGTAGACGTAGTATCCCTTGTCCTTAGACGCCTTGCCGCCAACGACAAGCTCCAGATCCTTGTCACTCTTGGCATCTTCAATAATCTTGCTAAGCTTATCAAACGAAGCTTCATGAATAACCGGGTTGATGAAGTTTTCGTAGTTCTCGACATCTCCAACCTTCAGAGCAGATACCTGTTCCTGGAGATGCTTCTTGAACTCAGGCCATACTGACTCGGTGACGTAGACTCGAGAGTTGGCCGAGCACTTCTGTCCCTGGTACTCAAAGGCTGCGCGAACCGTGTTGAGAGCAGCACTCTTGACATCTGCAGTTGGGTGCACAATACCCCAGTTCTTGCCGCCAGTCTCTCCAACAACGCGGGGATACGAGTTGTATATCTCATCCCCAATACCGTTACCGATCTTCTTCTGCAGTCTCTTGAAGACCTTGGTAGAGCCGATGAAGGTTAGAGCGCCGAATTCAGGTCTCTTCAGGACCGCATCAGTGACCTCGTTGGGGTCGCCTGGCAAGAACTGAATTACATCCTTTGGAAGACCAGCTTCAAGAAGGATCTGATACAGAAGCCAACTTGCATGTATAGCTGAGTCAGAAGGCTTCCAAACCACGACGTTCCCGAGTAACGCAGCTGGTCCGACGAGCGTGGCACCAAGAGCAGTAAAGTTGAAAGGTGACACTGCATATACGAATCCCTCCAATGGTCTATACTCCATCTTATTCCATACACCAGGCGTCTGAACCTTGGGCTGCTGAGCATATAGCTTCCATGCCTCATCTATGTAATGACGGAAGAAGTCTGCTGTCTCAGCTGGAGCATCAATCTCAGCCTGCCAGATATTCTTGCCCATTCCTAGCATGGTAGCAGCGACGATATCAGAGCGATATTTACCAGTTACCAACTCAGCTGCACGAAGGAAAATGGCAGCACGATCTTCAAAGGGCAGAACTTCCCAAGCGGGCTTGGCCTTGAGAGCGGCATCTATAGCTGCGTTGACATGCTCAGGCGTGGCGGTTGCGTATTCTGCCACGACTTCTTTGTGGTTTGACGGGTTTTGCTGTTTGAGAGTTTGAGTGCTGGTAATCTGATGATGCTGTTAGGAAAAGAGTTACTCTTGCGGACATAGCGACTTACCTCTGAGCCGCTGATTTGAATAGGAATCTTGACAGGGAACGAGCTTTTGAGCTTCTTGATGCTTTCTGTTAGTTGGGCTCGTTCAGGAGAGCCCTTGGCATAGTCGAACTACGATATCATGTTAGTACGATCGACTGAACGTCTAAGCCGGCTTACCATTTTTTCATTCTCAAATTTTGGTGGGTTCCATAGACTTAGTTGTCGGCTGGCTAACAGAGCTTTGGGCTTGTGCTGGTGAAAAGCACCAAGTCGAGCCAGAGGCCGATGCTGAGAGCCAAGAGATCTGAACATGATTGGCAACTGAAGTCACAGTGAGCAAGAGACACTGTAGTAGTGTGCGGGAAGAATCTGTCTCCTATCTCAAAATCAATCGCTTTATAAGTCAAGAGGCACAGAGTAGGCCAAGAGAAGTCGGGATGCCGTCCCGACTACATATCTTGCTCCGACACTCCAACTGACAAGTCAGGCAACACCTGCATATGCAGACGAATAGCTCGTAATCGATTCTCCACCTTCTGGAACTATTGGCACTTATCAGCGAGATCTGCATGAGTAGCTCATCGCATCCTCGTGACCTCCTCCGCATAACGCCACGCATTTTGTGACACGGATAATCTGTTGGATCATGCCGGGGTTGCTCTCAAGGTTACAAGATAGTAATAGAAGTGTCGGCGAGCCGTTCCGATATTTCTCATTCGCTGATTGTAGACTGCAGTCAGATTGTTTGGAAGGGATGGGTGGTGGGGGAGTGATAGATGGTGACGATGGCGCTTCCGTGAGAATATATGAAAGCCATGGCCATCTTCTGACAAGCTAGGAGCTACTCAAAATCCTTGGGACACGAAATATACCTAATTCAATATGCTTTTCAGAACCGCTATTCATCATCAAAGGGGTTTATTGCCTCTATCCCGCCTTCACATCCAGCCACAAATTAGAACGGTTACCAATGCGGCGCTGAGAACCTCTCTAAAGCCTCCTCAGGCACCTCTGGTGGAGGAACCATCACCTCTCTCCAAGATACCTATGGGAGTGCTCCTGCGTTCAGTTGCCTTAACAACAGTAATGGCGAATAAGTGGCTACTGCTGCCGTCACTTGCATTCATGGCGCTTATCACACAGTCCAACTCACCCATCCTGAATCCCGATAAGAACCCGGTGCTGAGTCGTGTTCTTCAATGGACTATCTATGACCACTTTTGCGCTGGGAACAGTATTCCCGAGGTGTCAAATACCGTTAAGTACATCAAGAAGCTTGGCTTCCATGGCATCATCCTTGGATATTCGAAAGACGTCGTCTTGGATCCCAACGTGAAGCTCCCGACGACTGGCGTTGAGGATTATCCAAAAGAGTGCTACGATATGATTGAAGAATGGAAGAAGGGCAACATTGATACTCTTAATATGATTGAGGCCGGTGATCTTCTAGCTGTCAAGTAAGTACCCAACTTCAGCCCAAATGACTAGTAACTTACATAGCTCAGGGTGACAGGGGCCGGACCCATCGCAGTAGACGCTTTACAGGCTGGAAAACCGATGAATAGTCACCTCCACAAAGCCCTCAACGAAATCTGTATCGAGACTCGAAAGCGCGGATGTCAACTCTGGATCGACGCAGAACAACAAGCTATGCAGCCTACGCTCGACGACTGGACCATCACCCTCATGCGCGAACACAACCGAGACGGTAATGCTCTGGTTTACAACACTATTCAAGCTTATCTCAAAGGCGCTAGAGAAAATGCCAAAAGGCACATCCAACTAGCAGCCCAAGAGGGCTGGACAGTTGGCATCAAGCTAGTTCGCGGCGCATATATCGAGAATGAGATCCGATCCCTCATTCACGATACAAAAGAGGATACGGACAATTCATATAACGATATTGCAGACATGCTAATTTCACGAAGGATGCCCGATGGAGCTGCCAACCTCAGCTTCCCAGACGCGGCACTCGTTCTGGCAACACATAACGCTGAGAGTGCGCAAAAGGCTCTTAGGACACACAGAAAGCGCCTTGAAGCTGGGCTTCCCACAGTTCCTATGAAGTGTGCACAGATCATGGGTATGGCTGATGAGTTGAGTTGCAAGCTGCTGCAGGATTACGAGAAGGCTGTGAAGGAAAACAGAGTCACTTCCGAGACACCAAAGATTTACAAGTGTTTACCTTGGGGCTCGGTGCAGGAGTGTATCAATTATTTGTACCGACGAGCGGTGGAGAATCGTGGTGCGGTGGAGAGGACGCAGCATATGGCGCTGGCGATGAGACAGGAGCTCCGACGTAGGATACTGGGATAGAGAATAGATAGAAATTGATCAGACCTAAGATTGAATATGAAATAATGTTGATCTATCTCAGAGGAAGCTCTACAATAACATGGGAAAGATAGGTACGCTGTGCTATGAAGCCATTTTGCTCTCCAACTTGGTCAACAGTCCACTCTTAGGCTGCTCATCGACCCACCTTGTTCTCGGAAGCTCGAAAGTCGAAGATATCCGCCCGTACGACATGCCACCCAGTTGACCGATCGGCCGCAGCTTGTCAAGGTCAATGTGACTAAAATCCTCATTGGCAGCATCCTCTTGCACCCAAAACCGTGTCGCCTTGATGAGAACTATACCGTAGTTACTCATTCCTGGTTTATGGCTCTCGAACTCTTTGATATCCACGACTTGCCCTTCGATGGATAGCACCGACTCTTTAACGCGGGATGGCTTGACAGTCGTTGTTGGAGCTTCAGTTAGGCCAGTGATGTCCCATTCCGACACTCCATATGGTGCATCAATGGATGAAGCATTGACTGCCTCTATCATATTCTCCGAAACGGTATTGATAACACATTCTCCTGTATCCTTCAGATTCTGATACGTATCCTTAGCCGACCCAAAGCGAGATGAGAAGCTAACGATGAACATGGGCGGGTCATGGTCAACGACTTGAAAATAGCTAAAAGGCGCCAAGTTCTTTACTGCGCCATCGCCGGAAACAGTACTAATGAAACCAACAGGCCGAGGAGCAATACCAGAAATTAAAAGTCGGTAGTTCTGCCCGACGGATCTGTCAGGCGAATACGGGTCGATCTCTCGGTGGATCTTGTCAGTGGGGGATTGACCACTGCGCACACCATCCCCATAAGACCAGGATGGGTCTGGGGACTTTGTTATCTCGATGGATTTGTTGGAGTGATCAAACTCTGGTCTGTTGGCTATCGTGTCTTCAAAATTGGTGATTGGTTGGACTGCTGAGAATGCAGGTTTAGCTGCAGCTGCCGCTGACGAAATCAGTCGCATTGTTGAGTGTGATGTGTTTGTTATCAGGCAACTGCGTGCATGCAACGTTGGTGGTCTAAATTGGAGGGTCAGAAACTGTGCCTCTGAACAATATGGCCGACTCCGACATGTCTTTCTGACTGACCTTGATGCAATTGCGGAGCGAAACGTAGTCAAAACCCTGGTCATTATGACAGTTCTGACATCAAAGCATTGACCAATTCTAGAAACAGGGATGTCTTCCAGAAGCACTGAACTCGGCATTCAACTTACACCAACGTAAATCTCAAGTGGAAAAGTCGGGATTGTTATACCGATATAGGACACTCACAATCCCCGCGTGATAAGCTTCCACTATCGGGATCTCATTCCGACCACTTTCACTCCGCAGCCGATAACGCAATTCCAAAGCCGCTGATAAGCTTTTCCCACGAACGCTAGGCAAAGACCGCGCCGGAATGATATTCCAGCTAAAAGACTTAAGTCGGAACAGCACCCCGACCTCTCTCCTCAACAGCCATTGTCAATTGCGCAACGATGCCTGCTACACAGAATGCTCAATTTCGGATCATTAAGAAATGTGCTAAAGCGTAAGTTCTTTTCTGGCCCGCTGGAAGCCGATTGCTGATCGTCGTGGTTGCTGGGTAGGTGTAAGCGATGTCGGTCTATGAAGGTCAAGTGTTCGGGGACGCAGCCGTGTTTGAGATGTGGACGGAAGAACGAGAGATGCATTTACGAGGCGGAGGAGAAGAAGGTATCGGTGCCTGAGAGGTGAGTCTCATGACCTTTTCAGTCTTGCTGTGGCTAATTCTTGGGATAGCTACCTCCGTGCCTTGGAGAGACGACAAGATGGACTTCCATCGCCAGGATCGTTTGGTAATGGAAGTAGGCCACGTCCAAGGCACTCTTCTGTCTCTGACTATGGTATTTCCGGTGTAGTCACACGAGACGCATCCATGGCTGCGGATGGAGGTGAGTTACCAGCCAACAACCTGTCATCCTGGCTAACGTGGTAACTGAAGACCTTACTCTTGGAACACCCCAAGATCATGACGAGAACGACGAAACAAACGAGGCTGCCTCTCTATCAACTAATGACGTCCTCGAACCGGCCTTCCGACAAAACCCCCTCGTCGACAATGACTACGTCTTCGGCCAAGCTATGGGTAGATACTGTAAGTCCCCTTCGTCAATCATCGGCATATGCTAACAGATCTCCACAGGGTACATGGGTCCTGCATCATCATGGGCCTTCTGCAGAAGAGTTCTAGCCCTAGTAGGCAAACATCTCCCCGAAACAAACAACGAGCCTTTACCCTGGCATCTTGACGGAGTAGCCTTCCGACTACAGTGGAGACCTCTTATGCCAGATGAGCCACCGGATATCTCCAACTTACCGCCGTCGGACTATGCATACTTCCTCATTCAAACTGCGAGGTTTTATCTTGGTCCTTTGGCGAGTTTGATAGACGAGGCTGAGTTTCTTCTGCATTTTAAAGAGCTTTATCAAGATGCTTCTGCGAAAGCGGCATCGTGTAAGCTGTGGTATGCGCAGTATTTACTCATGATCGCTTTCGGTAAAGCTTTTTTGGGTGGGAAGAGTACTGATGGGAGTCCACAGGGATATCAATACGCTGCTAGAGCGATGCCTCTAATGCCAGAGTTGGCCGGCATTGCTCTTGATCCTGTTCTTTCTGCACAAGCACTAACCCTAGCAGCTATCTACTTTCAGTCCATTGACATGAGAGTGGCAGCATATCAACACATCGGACAAGCTCTCCGTATATGTGTTCTTTCCGGGTTTCACAGACATATGCCGGAAGAAGCTGTCGGGGCGCAACACTCCAAGCGATGCCACATAATATTCTGGGTGGTTTATATGCTAGACCAAGAGTTTGCTGCATTGATTGGCGCAACGAGTGCCATACGAGACGAGGATATCACCAATAAGCTACCCTCTCAGGCGGACAGCTCGTTGAGCTCACTCAGTCTGACCCTTCATGTTCAGCTTGCTCGTTTAATAGCCAGACTACTAGGAAGTCAGTGCCATAGCGACAAAATCCAACACGAAATGGCTGCTAACATTTTTGAAGCGGTATACGGCGTTGGGAAAGATTACGATGGCACCCTCTTTAGCAATACGCAGTCTATCCTACGAAACTTGGCTGAACTAAATCGTGATCTGAACAACATCATCAACAACCATTTCCGAGACTCAATCAGTAAAGCGTCACGAATTGCAACGAGACTTCTGCTCCAATATCACCACGTAAGATTTAGAGCGCAGCGCCAAGCTTGAAGTTCTTGAACTGACTTGCTTTCAGTGCGTCGTTCTCACAACGAGGCCGCAGATAATGTGCGCTTTGCATATGCACATCGAGCAGTCAAAGACACAACTCATGACCCACGGTTTATCGCTGTCTCCGCCGGTTGCATCGCTTATACAGTCATGCGTTAGCTCAGCGCAGGCAATTTTGAAGACGCTTCGTGCCTTGGCAGATGAGGATCTAATTGGTAAGTACGGTCACTTTGAAGGTTAGTTATGGAGCTGACCTTGTGTCCCAGAGGCATTTTTGCCTTTCCAGATTGAGTATGCCTCATCGTCAGCGTTTCTCCTCCATCTCATCCCTATAATCTGCCCATCTCTTCTTTCAGATGATTCATGGCGTGATGATGCTCGCTACGTTTTTGACACTCTGATTTCGAAAGGTAGTCTGATTGCCCCTTTGCGTAAAGTAGAACTCGAACAGTTGGAGCAAAAGTTATCTGCTTTGACGCCGACTAGTAATATCGCAACACCGGAAGCACCAAACCAGGCAGAAGATCATGTCAACGTCCACGAAGAGGAGACTAGGGAACCAGAGTTACACGAACATGTCTCGGATGAGACAGGATGGGACCTCTTTGCGGCTAATGCCATGGCAGGGTTGACGCCGGGAGAGTTGCTAGATCTGGCAGAACAGCTCGATGTGGATAGTTTTCTATATCAGCCCGAGATGTAAGAAGGCTAAAAGTTATCGAGACAATTAATAAGATGCCTCTGGCATTTTCTCCTCTCGCTATTTGAAGATAATCTGATCTGACCTGACGCTATCCTTGTTTAGGCCGAAGACGTTTTCAGGCCATCTGATAGGGTGCAGCTGTTCCAAGCCACAGGTTGACTCCAAGGCTCACAACCACGAGTTCAGCTGAAATCACTCAACTTGCCAGCTTCAAACAACTAAACTTTGACACAAGGCCATCCAGATTCTGGCCTAGCCCCTACTCTATAATTCTTGGTATCTCAAACATCATCCCATGGCCTACCCGGCGGTGTCAGCAGAAGCAAGGGTCCCTTCCCCGCCGCCCATCAGGATTAGGTCAGATCCACGGGTAGGCAGAGGCGAAGGTCGCCCATATGACGTCCCTCCACCGCGTCCGCCAAATCAGCTCTATGGCGTAATTCCAGAGGCAAGCTACAATAATCAATTTATGCCATATCCCTACGATTACAATGTCATACCACCGCTATCTCCACCTACCCCAAAAGCAGCCCTTAGCCCGAGCCCCAAGCTACTCCAGAACCAACAGGCTGCATCTTCGTTTAGCGAGCTGTCTTATCAGTACAGACCAATTGAAGATGCATCCATCAGACTTGTTAGAATACTGCCGGAGAGGAAGACGATGATCAAGTGCGAGATTATCCATGTTTCGCTGGAACAGCCTCCTCCTTATATGGCTATCTCGTACACTTGGGGTGATACGGGAGATACCCGAAAAATTGAGATTGAAGGATGTTCGATCCCGATAGCTGTCAGCCTCCACGGCGCACTGCAAGCACTTCGAAAAAAACACTCATCCGTGCTGGTATGGGCAGATGCTCTGTGCATCAACCAAAAAGACCGCGATGAGCGGAGTCAGCAGGTTCAACTTATGCCGTTCATCTACTCCAATGCGGATAGCGTCGCAATCTGGCTCGGTCCGGAAGAGAACGACAGCATAAGAGCCGTTAGTTTGCTCGACACCATCGCAACTACAGGTGAACCCTTTGGTTCCAGCAATGTCTCCAATATCTTAGCAGCTGGCGCTGAAAACGGTGACCTTTTGGCGGTGGTGTCACTCTTTGGGAGAGAATATTGGAGACGATTATGGGTCGTTCAAGAAGTCTTTAATGCGAAACGAATAATGGTTTACTGTGGCTCGACGCGCCTTGAGTGGAAGAAATACCAGAGCGCTTCAGTAGTATTCAGCCAGCGCCGTGGGGAACTCATATTCAATAACAAAGACCAGCTCAAGAGGCGACTAGCAACTTCACCTGACCAGTTCAGCTACGTTCAGACGCTCATTTACCAAGGGCCAGCTAGTCTACCAGACCTCAAATTCCACATGTCGGATGGAGAAGAGGCTCTTCTGCAGGTGCTGCGAACTTGTCGCAGAAAGCTTGCGTCTGACCCTAGAGATAAGCTTTACGGAATACTTGGTGTCTTACCAGCCAGTATTCGAGAAGAGTTCCGCGCGGACTACAATCTCTCCGTGAAGGATGTGTACACTGAGATTGTCGACTTTCTCCTCAAGACAACTGAGAAGCTGGACATCATCTGCGAAGCTATCCACTTCCCTGTTCATACCAGCACCGCCAACCTTCCAACGTTCGTTCCGGACTGGTCACACGTTCCGCAAACATCAGCAATGGGCTTCAAATACAATTTTGCAGCTTCAGGTTCTAGCAAAGCTATTTGTAGGTTCCGTGACGAACGCCTCAGCAAACTGGAAATTTCGTGTCTTGAGATCGACGTTGTACAGAGCAAAGGCGTTGTTGTTGGAACGCTTTGCAACTTGGGAGATTATCTCATGGCATTCCTACACTGGAGAGCACTACTTCTTCAGGCCGTCGAGGGTCGCACTGAGCAAGAAATACAAATGGCGGAAGAATGCTTTGCAGCGACGATATGCCTTGGCCAGATCCCGTCGGAATATGACCGAGGCCGATGGCAGGCAGAAATCTACCATGTGTTTGCGAACCTCTTCCGCGACCGTCTGCCATACATCAGACTCGATGACAGACTAGCTTACTACTTGAAAACTCCATCCGAGGGAAAGGCTGAAATGAGACGGCACTTTTTACAGATTCATTTTGGAGATCGTATGATGGGGAGGTGTTTCTGTCTTACACAGAATCGTCGGCTCGCGATGGGATCGGGGTTCATGCTTGCGGGTGATATAATTGTTGTGCCGTTGGGTTGTTCGACGCCGATATTGTTGAGGGCTGAGGGGACGCAGGGTGAGTATAGATACGTGGGCGATATATTTATCGATGGGTACATGTTTGGCAAAGCTGTTGATCAATGGCAGGCGGGGAAGAGGCAGCTGAAGAAGTATATACTTCACTAAAATTGAGTATTTTCGCCGATGTCTCTCGATCCAATGAGTCCCAGGGGTCTTGGATGGTCTGAATGGTGGGTGATGTCAGGGCGTCATGTGGTGCACCTCGGTCCGCCCATTGGTGATCGGACATACCCAGTGCCCATGTACCCGGTCAGTGGTCATTGATTTAGCCTTCGGAAGGCCCAGCCAATCACTAACCCGACCTAACGAGTGAATGATAGTGAGGCATATATCCTCACGGATATGGGAGATAGAATGTGGTTACACAAGTAAAAACAAGTAAACTCCGAGCCAATACCTGCTGTGATCGTACGTTTGGTTGACGTCAGACAGATTGAGTTAGTGTGGCGAGCACTCAACCGCGCTTCCAAGTGACCTGTGCCCTTGGGGGACAGAAAACATTGGATTGACATCCCGAGTATCTCCCACTATCCCGAGTTGGAACCTTTATGTCTCCCCCGAGCCATCCCTGTCACCGACTGAGACTCACCGGTCATGATAAAGGTGCACTAACAGGAGCCGTGACAAGCTTATCTGGATATATACGTGAGATAGGACTGACATTACTGAGTCTTGACAGATCCCGCATTTGTCCTTTCAGTGCACCGTAGTCTCTTTGTCTCTGTCTCTGAGCTTTTCGACAACAGCCTAACCCCTGGTCACCAAAAGTATTTATCGACCTTACAAACTCTTGGCATGCGGCGCATTTCCCCACATCCCAACAACCGTCAATCGGATCAGCGCCAACGCGATCTCTCATAGTGGAGTAATCATGGGCTCTATCTTGACTTCTACACAAGGCGCGACAGACTCCGAACTGATATTGAGTGACGCGATTTGGAGGGAAAGGGTTCCGCACATTAACGGAGAGAACTACTTCTTCTGGCCGTATCCGGTCCTGAAAAGGCTGATAACGCGGGATACAATCATCCGACAACTCCAATCCATCAAGATAGGACTGGAGGATGCGGAGGCATGCAGCGATCTAATCGTGGGCACCGATAAACCCCCTTTTCTTCGAGTCTTTGCAATACTGGTTCTTGTTGAGAGACCCGGCGATATCCAGGCTTTCATAGATGCAGATTTGCATGACGAAAGATTTCCTCTGGTACAAGGATCGGAGTATCATCTTACTGCCCAGATCTGCATGGCAAACCTGGGATGGTCTCATATGCAGAGAGACTATTTCAACATTAACCAACTGCGAATGTCGCCGGGGTTCTTTGCGCTAAGTGAGAACTACGAAGCTCAGCACTATGATATGCCCAAAGCACAGATGCTGCCTTGGGTGTTATGCAGAGACAGCTATGGAGTCCACGAAGAGACATTGTCAGGGGGGTGCGGGCAGGTCGTCAAGTACAAGATTGATCCCAATTCACATGGGTTTACCCCGTTACTGGAGACGGTGAGTTTGGCTTTCAATCCTCGCTAATTTACGAGACTCTAATATCCATACCGCATAGCATGGCTTTTATGTTAGCTTCGTTGCCGTCAAGTCTTTGAAAAGCACCAGTCGGGAGAAAGACAGGTCGAGCAAAGAGTTGGAAATGCTCAAACGATTCAGTGGTCTAAGCCACCCGAATATCATCACGCTTTTGGCAACATACACTCTCCAAAGCCGATTTCACTTCGTCTTTCCAGCCGCCGAATACGATCTTCTCATCTATTGGAAAATCCATCCTGGACCACTCGTGAATCCCTCTTCTGCCAACAGCGAAGGTCTCCTATGGCTGTCGGAACAAATCCGAAATGTCATTGGGGCCCTTGCACATATCCATGAAGGCACAAAAGCCCATATGGATACGGAGACAATGTTCGGCAGACATGGGGACATAAAACCTGCCAACATTCTTTGGTTCAGATCGCGGAAAGAGAGGCGTGGTGTTTTTGTGATATCAGATTTAGGTATTGCGGATGCTCACCGGGAAGATACCAGATCTATTATTCCTGCAGCCGATTTGCCTGTCACGCCCAGATATCGAGCACCCGAGTGCGATATCCGTGATGGCCGGATATCCAGGGCATATGATGTCTGGAGTCTAGGCTGTCTATTACTCGAAATGACTTGTTGGATCCTTGGGGGAAATGACCTGAGGGAACGATTCAAAGACATCCTGGTCTCACCTTATATAACTGGGGTCAAGACCGACATATACTTCGATATTCACTGGCTCGGCCCTGGAGAGGGCTACAGGCTTGGGGTAAAAGATCAAATCATCAAGGTAAGTATCCCAAGAAGAAATTTGCTACAACCTCTTTCTGACACTATTGGCAGTGGATCGGTTCTTTGCATAGGAAGAGGGGTTGCAGCGCCTACGTCCATGATCTGCTCGATATAATACATCAAGATATGCTGGTCGTTGATCAGAATAGGAGGAAAAGCATGGCTGAATTATTTGAGACTTTTGGCGAGATGCATCAACGCGTCATTGATAACATCGACTATATTAAAACTCCGGAACCGAGGGAAATAAGCTTGGAGGTAAGATACATGGATGGAGTGCATCTGAATGATAAGATAGAAAGCATCCTTGGGGCACGGGATGAGAAAAGAAATCAGCTGAACGAGGCCTCGGTTTGAAAGGTATGGGGTAGCTCGTGACAGCTGGGTATGCAAGGCCCAGACCTATCAGGGCAGGGTTAGCTCCGAATAGCGTCAAGATAATAATCGATAGTGTTGTCGTCAGAAAAAATAATAGCGTTTTCAACTAGCTCATCTTTAATACCTTAGCCTATCTAATCTTAGTTTATTATTATTTAGTGAAGCCAGGTGAAGTTAGCAGTGACCACTTCAGACAAGGGCCAGGGTACGTGTAGTTAGTCTCGACCGATCTATACCAATATTTACCATATCACCGGAATTGCAGCAAGGGATAGAAATATTTTACTATGCAGTCTGCCATGTCTCGATGATGGTTTTCACCTCTGTTCCCTCTGCGCAAGTTGGATGGGCTCGTATTGAAAAAATGAGGTTCTCACAGTATTTCGTGCCTTTGGCCATGGCCTTGTCAGGTGCTGAGACCCTCACTATTAACTCTGATTCTTGCTTGCGGGGTATGTCTTATTATATAATTCATACATGTGGAATAATTAACTGACTATCAAAATAGCCGTTACTGCAGTCTCAAGCAAGATATATACAGCTGACTGTAAATCTTATCTATATACCACCGTGACACCAAAGAAAGCGTAGGACTAAGAAGCTTTATCTGCAAAGTGTCACAGCAGCTAATCATGACACAACAGCACCATCTATAGAACAAAGACTGTAACTAGCATCTCGACAGTCAGGAAGTATGTTACAGCAATCAGCACACAGCTTGTCACCGCCACAAGGACCAACTCTGTTGTACAGAGTGTTATAGTTGATATCACTACAACTGTGAAAATGGATGGTACCAAGACAGTTACTCAGCAGACTATAAAGACAATCACGACGACTGCCCAGAATGTCAATCCACCATCCAAGAAGCGAGCAGTCAATGCCCCTGTCATCCCTTCTTATGCCAGCATCGCGTGCAGCAACTCGGTCAAGTACTCCTCCGCATGTTCTCGTGTCGGTGTAACCAGCAAAACCATTACTCTTCCCCGAACGACGATCGTTTCAGTCATCTCAAAGGTTATCATTCCACGGAGAACCACCATCAAGACTGCTATCGCAACTGCCTATGCTACCAAGACGGTCAAGACAGAGGTTGTGCAGGAGACCTATTCCACTGAGAAGATCAGTAAAGTTGTTGGAACAGAAGTAAAGGATAACATCATTGCCACCGAGACCAAGACCGAGATCAGTACGAAAACCGAGGCGGCTGATCCACTGCAGACGATTTCCCTCATCGCACACGACAGCGGTGATCCTGACCTCGCCTCCCTCGGCGGTGTTGGTTTCGTCCATCTAGAGAACCAAATCGGCACAGGAAAATACTTCCTCGACTTCACAGCCGACGTTGACTCCGACCTAACCTTCACACTCAACCAACGCACAGGAGAAGTTAAAGTCGTCAACGGACCTGCAAGTTCGATCGGAAAAGCTGCCTACTCCAACGTCAACGGAAACTCGGACAACTACGTACGCTTCATGTCAACCGAGGAAGCGACAGCGAATGCGGCCAACTCTTTGGCCCGCAAGATCATCCCAGCGACTTCGTACCCCCTGGGCCTTCAGTGCTTGTGGGGGACTAATCAGATTGCTGATTTTTGGACGTGCTCTTCACGACTGGGGCTTGTTCAGCCGGGAGTGGATTTCACGAGTCAGTGTACGGGTGCTTCTACCTCTTATAACATTGACATAGAGGTCCGCTTGGCTTAGAAGGGATTTGTAAATTGGAAGATAAATCAAGAAGTAGACCTTGTATAGAATTAGAATTTCTTAGACCGCAAATAAATCGACACTCAAGTACCGTCGATCTTTCTGTATGCCGGTACTGCCTCTTCTACAGGTGGTCTCATCCACGATTCATCGTGTTGTATCTCAGCCTCTGCCGTCCTACTAATTTCACTCTCCACCACCTCAGGCCGTACTCGATCATCACTCGGTCTTAGTATCAACAAATCCGCCTCTCCACCCACATCAAACCTGACTCCCGCAATTTCACCCTGAATCCACCATGCAATTGCATGCGTAACCATGATATTATATGTACAAAATGAATGCGTAAACCCCGTCTGTGCAAAACTCCATTCTTGCGGAAATCCTGTATCTTTTAGACCTATTCGCAGGCCTGACAATTCTCCGACATCGATAGGCTCCCATTGACGTGTGAAGGGTATTCGAAGGTTCGTCTTGAGTCTGTTGAGAGCTTGGACAACTCCAAGGTCAACTTCTGTTCTTCGTCCTCCAAAACTTCCGTTGAGTGATGTTTCTGTGACTATCCAAACGTGTACGGTTGTAAGTTTGACCTCTTGTGCAACATTCTGAATTACAGGACTTGTTTTTTGCCAGTTTGGTGCCACGAGAAGCTTGATCGGTATAGGCGTTGGGTTGTCAAGTTGGATGATCCTTGGGACGTCAACAAAAACGTCAAATACTAGGTCAGGGTCTGATGAAAAGAAGTGCTTCCTAATCTTTTGTAGCGAAGACAACCTCACGTCTTCAGATGCTGACACAAGCCTCTGACTTGAGATTTTTCGTGGATAGCGGATTCGTCTGGATCCAAAGTTGGCGATAGGAGCATCTGGCGTCAATTGTATGATCTTGAATGGAAATATAGCCTCTAAAACTTCGCTCTTTCCATGACCTTCGACTGTGAGTTTGGCTTCGATAAAATACTGGATGCATGCCGATGTTTCCTTTTCTCCCCCGTCGCCAAGGATATACGACGGAGGCAGTTCGTGGTCTGTCGTATCAGGAGGAATGAAGCTTAAAGCTTGTCTGACATTGTTGATTTTTGGGTCGGTATATAGTGGAACAGGTATATTGAATATCCATTCCTTATGACCACAGTTCTCGATGTGCAAAGGTCCCTTAAATATGGTCTGACAATGGTTAAGTAGTGTTAACCCAAATGTATAATCACCTTTTCTATCCTTGACCTGTTGACTTGTATTCGCTGTTCCGATAAGGGACACAGTCAGTGATGAGTCTGGGCTCACGATATGCGCTTTTCGATATACAAGCCCAGTAATGGTGTCACCAGGAACGTATGTATCGCTGTCGAGGTGAATCCCCAAGTCGGGGCTAGATTTCGGTACTTTTCCCAAAAACGACATGTTGAGTTGTATTGTGACTTTAGCTAACACAATTGAGAGATTGGTTATCTCCCTTCGTATTTATGTCATTGCAGTTTGATCTTGCCCTGTATTACTGCCCAGCCTGGAGGGAAATATGGACTGTGCCGCAAATCTAAGTGAGTCGCGAATATGAGGCCAAGGTTGAGAACTGCAACTTAGCCAATCACTGGACTCCAGATTGTGGCTTCGCAAAAGGCATGACCCTCCTTATGAGGAAGAAACCAATAGGGACTTGGCTTGGCTTTGGTTATTGTAAGTTGACTCATCGTCACCTGATATAGATGTTCCGGTTTCGGTCAATTACGCGAGGCGCGAGGCAGATACGAAGTTGTAATTTGTGTTTAGCCTCTGATGATTCTTGAATTATTGAAATTGTTTGGCATTTGAAGCTACAATTGAACCACTTGCGGTAAGACCTTGACTATGTATCTTATCATTGAGATCGAAGTCGGCGATTTCCACTAACATATCGCATAGGCCTAAATTAGGTCCCCTGTTAGGGATCCGTGTGTGATGCCAAGAATAGGCCTCCTAAGACACTTCAGCCCAGGTCAAAAAGGTCGCTAACATATTCACGGGGACTTCTGGCGGTTGACTTGAAATGGTTATCCAAGGTAATTGGCCCATGGCTGCTATATCGGATCTGCCTATCTGCCCCTACTCCCATTTACATACTGTTACCCCTGTCATATGACACATTCACCGACATGGTTTTCCTGATATGTGGTGATAGTGCTGGACTAGCAGGTCCACCAGCAGGTCCAGCATTACCCTGACCGTTCATAGTACCACGATGTTGATTAAGAATACTCTTGTCACTCTGGTTGTCGGAAGTATGATCCGGGTGAGCCTCCGTCTCAATCAAGGCACTCCATTGACCAGCCTTGTTCTTGGGAACAAACATGATGTTGTTCATGTTCTTCAAGCGATGCGAGTTCTCGCTTGACTTGGCTGATGAAGGAAAGACCTTGCGAAGCATGGGCCGAAGGGTGGGTATACAAGCAGCCATGATAATGAGAGCATTCTCAGCGCAAGCTGTGAGGAGAAGTTCACCGACGTCGTAGGTAGGATCGTTGCTTGTTGCGTTGGCTTTGAGCTTAGTGCACTTAATGACGGCGATGGCTCCGGCACTGGAGGAGTTAGTTAGAGACGATGATGATAGGAGACGAGAGCGTACAAAACACCAAGGCTCATGGCGACAGCTACACCGAACTTTTCCTTGTTCTTCATGTTCAAGTTCCAGAGCATAGCCCAAGGAAGAAGCGCGAGGATGAAATCGGTGGCGGCAGAGTAACCTTGATGAATGTCAGTATTGGAAAAACCCCACCGTATGAGACAGACTTACCGCCGATGAAGTACAAAACTCCAAGGTAGGAATTAGGATGCCAACACTTGCTCACAATAGCCGGGTTCCATGTTGTTCGGGGATCTTCGCAGTGCACAAAGACAATGATAGAGATGAGGATATGAAGCGTAAGCATAGTGACGACGATGAACCAGAGGAACCGATGGATGAATCGCTGTGCGGCTAGTCGCATGAGGCTGATCGAGAAGGATGTCTTGCCCAAGGCACACGACATGACGACGAAGGGCTGTGAGACTTGGCCTAGCAATGCGACCGGGACGGCATCTTGAGGTGCAAAGGTAAGAACCCATTCGACGTGTCGACCGAGACCTTTCTGAACGGCAGCTTCGATGATGGCGCCATAGCAGATGAGAAGAATCTGTGGTAACACATATTTGTCAGTACGCGGGATGTCGAAGAAGCTTGGCTTCTTACCAGAGAGATAACAATGACCCAGTCATCAAGACCAAAGACCTTTCGCACAAACAATCTCGTGTACACTCTAAGTCCAACAAAAAGAATGGGAAAAATCACAGAAAGCCACGTAACAGTCCGAATCACCGGGCCCCGCGTCTCAGCGAGATACTCAGGAGAAGGCGTAGCGGCAGCCATGTTCCGATCGATAACCAACAAGTTTGTCTCACACTGCTTTAGCAGGCACATTCATGCGTCTTATATGTGTCCAAGGACAAACCTTGATGCATAAATACGAAAATAACAAAACCGGCAGGCAAACAAATTTTCTCGTAACATAGCCTCGTTCTCTCAGCCATATGTCACATCTCAAAGAGACCGGGCAAATGATTTCAAGTATCACAAAGAAAGAAAAGGAAAGAAGGATATTCCATCGTGGGGAAAAGATTGGCCTCGGGAGAGACCGAAGCCGTTGGACTCGAAACAACGGTTGAAAAAAAGCAACGTTGAAAACGGGGCTGGCAAAAACGCCCGAGTAGCGAATCCAATCGAGGGCATGAGAATATCCCGACTGTGAGAGGAGAGAAAACAATGGGGACGATCAATGCCGTCACAATCATACGTTGAGCAAGCTGCAACGGAGACGATCTGCAGATCCAATCACGGGGGAGATGATGTTTGCTCGCCTTTGCATAATATGTCAAATATCAGTTGTTACAACAGGGTCGCAAACAAAATTAGAGCATGGGAGTCGCTTATTATTATCTCCGTATTACTGCCAATCCCGGTGAAGTGTTGGGGCTCGCGGATCTGATAGATCAGATGCCGTGCCATACTCCTGCATAATTGGCTCGCCACAGAGAGTGGGTTTGGTTTGCCGGCCGCGAGAGGTTCTGCAAGAAATTTGTGCAGAGTGGATTTGACTTAAATAAGAGTCTCGGTTAATCTAGTGTTGAAGAAACCGTTGTGTGAAGATTAATGTTAATTGATGTCTTGTCTAACGTACGTTAGTCCAAGGTTAGTTCCCGTACCAATGGCGTACTTGTCCCGTGTCACTAGCTCCAACGTTATCTTATTGTCTACTAACCGAGAGTAAGCCAATAGTTACGTGACAGTCACTTCTCATATTCTCTTGTATTCAGCTTGTGCTTCGAATGTTGCCTCGAGTCCTGTAAGCTCTTTGTTTGCTCAGCCTTCTTCCAAGGATACCCCTGGCCTGTGCAAGGATGATCCCGCCTCCCCGGTGAGATATTATCTCTTCCCTCGTTCTCATCGTGCAGAACCTCGAGAACCTAAACCAATTCTGATAATTCCAACCGAGGTGGTTGCTAATCGAGACCATGTGCGTGGGATTCTTGTTGTAACTACTGCATGCCAAGTTTCAAGGAGCCTCATGCTTGTGTGGGGGAGCTAACAATTCCACACATGTTTGTGAGGGAACAGTTCCTGTTCCTGTATGCTCAATGGCTGTTCCGCTTCTGTATTTGGTTTCTCCCGCGTGGAGTTAAGACATATCATAAACACTAGCATAAAAACCCTGCAATTTGGCGGTGGAGTACTGTTACATAGTGCATAATCCAGACGCATTCTCTACAGCAGCGTCACTTTTCTCTTTACCTGTGATAGTGGGAGTGTGGAGAGGTGGTGCATTACACATCTCCAGTAATCAGACCATGCCCTCCGCAAAAAGCAATATAGATTCGGCTCGGTCCCGCGTCTGCATCCCGCAGCAAATTTATGATATATCCTCTTTGTTTTCTCCGCAGATGCAACTCGTTGTCTCTGTAGATCATGGCCCTTTCTTCTTTCGACCTGAGCTACGTGCTGTACGTCGGCGTTGCTTTTGTCGTCGCTCGTATCTTTTACGACCTCTTATTCTCGCCTCTCAGACGCATTCCTGGCCCTCTTGCTGCAAAGTATACGGACTTTTATCGGGCGTATCTTGCCACCAAGGGAAATGTTGATGAACACATGCGAGCATGGCATCAGAAATGGGGTTCTGCCGTGCGGGTTGGTCCAAATACGATCAGTATTAGTGACCCAGATCTGATTCGTGTCATTTACACGACGAGAAACCCATGGCGAAAGGTAAGTCCTTACAGCGCTGCCCAAAGAGTGATGGGAATTTCCTGGGTGGATTGATTCCAATGGGTTCTAACTGTCTTAGACAAACATGTACCGCCCCAACGATGTTGTTGTCAATGGCCAGCGAATGCAGAACATCTTCAACACTGCAGATGAAGACTTTCACACCAAATACACCAAACCCATCCGGGGCTTCTGGACACTCCCCAAGATGCTGGAGGCTGAGCCCATCATGGACGAAACCCTCTGTGAGCTGATCACTCACTTGTACAATCGCTTTGCCAGCACAGGGTATGTCTGCAAGATGGACGAATGGGTAGCCTACTACGCTTGGGACGCTGCTGCAAATATCAGCTTTGGTCGCAACTACGGCTTCATGGACCAGGCTGCTGATGTCGAGAACATCATTGCTGAAAGCACAGCTGGACTCAAGTATTTCACACCCGTCAGTCAGATCCCATGGCTTGATGAGTGGTTGGATAAGAATCCCATCTGGCGCATTGGTCCTCGCCCTCTTGTCAATGGCGTATTGTACACCATTAAAATTCTCACAGAGTATCAACAACAAGTGGCTTCTGGCGCTGCCAAGCGTAAGCCTGTGGATCTCTTCATCGACAAGTATAACAGCTTGAAGGAGACTGTTGACTATGTCGATGATCAGCAAATTCTGAATTGGCTTATGCTCAATGTCTTGGCTGGTGGTGACTCAACAGCTGGTGCTATGCGTGCTCCGGCTTACCATCTTCTAAAGAATCCATCTGTGTGCGAGAAGATGGTCGCCGAGCTCCGTTCCGCCAACTTAACTCTACCAGTTCCTCAATGGAAGGAGATCAGTCAACTACCCTATTTCGATGCAGTCATGCGTGAGTCTATGCGAATCTCCCCCGCTGTCGGTCTCATCCTTGAGCGCGAAGTACCAAAAGAAGGTCTCGAACTTTCAGACGGTCGCTTCATTCCCGCTGGAACAAAAGTCGGCATCAACCCTTGTGTAATCACTCGCGATGTTGGTGTCTTTGGCGAAGACGTCGATACCTTCCGACCTGAGCGATGGCTTCGCAGCAAGGGTGAATCTGAACAGGGACATGCCCAACGCGTGCGACGAATGCACGAGTGCACTGAGATGATGTTTGGACACGGCTCGCGAGTTTGCATGGGTAAACACATGTCCAAGTTGGAGATGTATAAAATGTTTGCTACGCTTTATGTGAACTTTGATGTAAGTCTGGTCATCTCCCTGAGCTATTGATCAAGTATTAACCCAAGATGTAGGTTCGTATCACGGATCCGAACCATAGATGGAAGTATGATAACTCCTGGTTTATGTATCACAAGGACATCCCGTGTACTATTAGTCGCAGACAGATGTCGTAGGTCTTGCATGAAAGTGTCTAGGTTCTCTCTGCCGGAACAAGCTCACAGCCACAAGTCTCAACTGCAAATAAGCATGAAAGTGTCATTTCTGTTTCATTCGGATTGCACATGTAAAGTACATAAGTAGCTTTGCAACTTATGATTCTCTACAAATCCTTGAAATGCAGTGCCAACTGTCTTCCCTCAGTATACAAAGTCTTTTTTGGTAGACTGTACTATTGCTTGCTCCTGATATCACTATCAGCCGACACTCTCAATCCAGAGCTGTTGAAGTATTCCACATCCTCATCGTCCCAACCGAGTGATTCAAAACACTTCTGAGCAATTTCGCGCCCTTCGGTACGGTCCAACGGGAAAAGTCCGTCGTGTAGCTTCTCCCTCAGAAACTTGCCGATGTTCATCACCTGCCCTTGGAAGAGGAGTATGGCAAAGACACGGCGATAGGTCTCGGGGGAGGCCCTTGATCGCTTTTTGTATTTGCCGAGGATGATGTCTCGATATTTCGTTGCTTCCCTCTCGTTCATCGATAAGACGATCAGTTCGTTATAGATCAGGACCGGTGTCATCAGCGTTTTGAGCAGCTCGTATGGCCACGCAAATTTCAGTTTTTGGTCAGGAATTGGGGTCCTTTTTTCCCAAAGAAGAGTACGTAGACTCGTTTTCGTAGCATCGCGATGCACGTCGGAACTCATCACGAGACAGAACAGGGCAGAGAATTTGGTGGGTTCTGTGCACAAGTAGAGGGAGGCTTGGCTCCTATGAAGTTGAGTGGAATGTGAAGTGTGAGACTAGATACGCATATGGCAATGGCAGGATTAGGTGCGCATGATATAACTGCTGCGCTCTGTTTATCACTCTGAATATGCACTCAATCACGCACAACACACACTTGATCACTCTCAAGAATATCTTAAGAGTCTACACTTCATCACTTACAGTCTACACTTCATCACTTATGATATTTAGGGACTTTACCGTTTTGCTTCATCAAATCTGGTAGAATTGACTCGATCGCGGTTCAGTGACAAATCTCTTTCTCAGTGACGCAGTTACTAACAAGTCAATTGCAATTGTGCGAGGCGCGTGATGTGAATCATCAGCTTGGGGTCAATCAACTCAAAATAACACTCTTATCAAAGTCAGTCCGGGCAGTATACCAGCTACCCAACACAATTGCACGAGATAAGCTTTACAAGCCTGCCAATTGCATTTAATTTGTACAGTCGGCAATAGAAAGAGAGGAGAAATAACATTATGATTGGTTTCTGCTAACCTTTATGCAAAGTCACTACTGTAGTCATGTGTGAGAGTCCAAATTGTCACGGCAGTTCGCATCAATGGTGGTCTGGCTACGCAATGACAAAGAGGAAAACCTCGTTTACGCAGGTCGGGCAAGGTCAGAGAAATTGGCAATTTCCGTGATAGTTAAAGGGAATACAGTCGGTAGTCTTGTTATACTCTGTTAAAGTCAAGTCAAACTCCATGCACTATAGCTTGCATTTCTGCCTCCAACCCACCAATCACTTCCTCTCTGAATTGCTTTTGAGTATCAGCGTATTCTAGTGAGGCATGATGATCGTCATAAAATCTGATGCAATATCTCACAGCATCACCGTATCTCCACGGAAGCCTCCCGCGGTCAGTCAGTTGACGGAGCCACCTTGAAGCAGTCAAGTAGTTGGTTGAGCTATTTTGCTTCCCGTCTGAACCCAGGTCGTCTGGGCGTCTATGACACTCTATTGCCGTTCCTGTTTTGATTTCCATGAGCATGATTGCGAGGCTCAGCATGTTAACACGCTCCATTTCTGAGCCTTCTGTGCCATTCACTAAGCATGAGTGTTAGTTTCTGAACTTTGTTTGCATTCTATAAAATACCTGACTGAGATTGAAGGGCAAGATAAGGATACCGCATGTCTGCCGAAGCCTCGCCATCTGGGTCGGGTCGAAGGAACAAGATACTCTGCTTGTTCCAGGATTGGTGAAGCCAGCGAGTGCTTTGAAGCTGGATGCAGGATGATGCCAGTGTGATAGCTAGGCGGTAGAAATCGCATAACGCAAAGGACTGACTTTTCATGTCAGGCAGCAGATCCTGCAAACTAAGTCCTCTCTGTAGGTTGTGGCTATCGGAGCTCCCCGGTAAATCAAGTCGACATAAGACATTGCAGTGATCTATAGAAAACCTCAGGTCTGAAGCAGAGGCGCTCCGAATGAAAGTACAAATGTCAGTCACTCTATAAGCTTGAGGTTGGTTAGCGGGGATATCGGAAGGCTCGAAACGCACACGGCGGTTCCCCTGGGCGTTGTTGCTAAATAAATCATCAGCCTCTCTCGGATGAATTGTCAAAGGCATCATTCATACGTTGGTTCCAGTGGTTTGTCACGCTCCAGGTGGAACTCAGCGCTCAGCCAGGCAGCCACAGCATCTCTCGAAAGTAAGATACTAAAGTGCCCAATATTTGCATATGGACGATTTGCACCAGATCTATGACAGATGGATTTTCGAGACAGTCTCTCCTCTAACATTATGGCGGCCTGATGATTGCAGTCACCAAGGGAGCACCAACTGCTGGACAGGGCATCATGGACTCTGGAAGCATTTCTGGAAATTTCTTCTAGAGGTCCAACGAAGCTGACAGCCATATTGTCGGTAGCCGGTGTCAACTCGGCGAGCTTATTAGAAGCTGTCAAGATTCTATTCAATCTCGCATTGCAACCCTCCAGCTTTTTCATCTCAGCTTTGACTTTATGGCAGCTCCATGTAAACCTCGCTCGTTTTCGTAGTCTGAGAGTCCTTTCTGGAAGCCTAGCTTGGGTGACGGGATCGTACTCTTGTATAATGGCCCCCAAACCCTTTTGTGCCAGCTGTTGAAGATTCAGCTACACCATCTCGACACTCGATTGACATGTTCGTTGACAAACCTCATCTTGGCCGGCTATATCAAGGCTGGAGACGATCCAAATCATGCTACCCTCGATGTCACGTAGTATGCTTATCAGTACAGCATAAAACTTGCCCAACTTTTCTTCTACCTTTTGGAGGAACTCGCTGTCTGTCCATGAATCATGCTGTGGGTCTTCTATCATATTGCAGTGTTTCTCTGGACTCACAGTGTTCTTAAGAAGCAACCGCATATTAATATCGAAGTCCACCTGACATAATGCAAGCTGTCGCGTCATAAGTGCTTTGGCTTTCTGCCAACGGAAGAAAGCAAGTGTGTACTCCGATACCTCATCTTTATGATTTAATACCGATATGATAATGGGGAGTACTCCAAGAACCAAGCCGGCGACCTCAGCCATGCTGAAAGTCAGGTCGAAAATTGTAAATGGTAGGTCAGCTTGGACGATGGAAGTAATCCGGGGGAATTTGAGACAAGTGGTGGGTGTATGCGAAAGAGGAAACAGATGCGACATTATTTGTCATCGGCTGGTTCAAGTAATATCGGCCAACCACTGAAGGCCACGAAGTGCTGTGAGACTGTAGAGGTGGCACAAGCCGGATGAGTAGCCTGAAAAGGGGTATCTCGATCCCCCCTCATGAGCGGTAAGAACAATTTTACACAGATCATAGTGAACAGTACAAACAAACGAAGTTCTGGAAGAGACATACTCTTTCTGCGAGTCTGTATCAATAAAATGGATACTGAATCAAGCAACTCCGTTGCATCAATTACTAAGGAGTGTCTCCTGTCTTTCGATGTCCACATATCCACTCTGAAAGACGCATCCGATCTTCACAAACGATGTCTCACACAAAAGGCTCTCTCTAATCAGCGAGATCGACTCAAAGTCTGGGCGAGTAACATAGGAGCCCTTCAAAGTGGGAATGCAGCTCTTGACGCCCGGCTTCGGGGCTTTTCGGTGATGAAACTGGCCATTACTCAGTGCTTTGAGCAGCTCGGGCAATTGATATCCAGCAGTAAGTAAATTACGACCTGGTGACTCTGAACTCTTACGTACAAACAGTTATAGATATGGAAATATTGCAAGGACAGCGGTTGTCTGTGGAACAGACGCTTGCGAAGTATCAAGAATTATGGATAGTGCGTCTGATGACAGTTCCGACAACGAAAACAAAACACCCCAAAAGACTGAGCTGGGGCAGAATCTAGTAGAGATAGCCTCCATTATTTCCGATCTTTTCAAGCTATCTTTCAAACTGAGAAACCCTGCTGCAAGATCGATGGGGCCTCTGATGTTGAGAGCGCTATCTCATAGAAAGATGGTAAATCTGGACGATGCTGATGAGAGTGCTGTAGTAGATTTGTTCGATTTGTATACCGAGTTTGATCGAACACACGTGGAAGAAACCTTGAGGCAATGGCGACTGGGATCCCGGCACCACAAAGCTTTGCGGTTTCCCATCACTCCTGACGAAGCTAAGATCACTCTTGCTGAGACAGAAAGAACTGACGCATTGGTGATAAATGGACATCTTATAGAGAGGTGGGCCAAATCTATCACGAACCGCCGTCGTATATTTTCGTACTGGGAAAGACATTCGAAGAAGTTAGCAGTAAGAGAGAGTGAGGTGGCATTGAAATCACCTACTATCTCAGCTCCTCCACCATCAAATTACAACCCTAGTCAACATGTCACACAAACACCAGAGCTCATTCGACCATTGCTAATTCTGCCTGTAGCAGAATCTACGGTGTTGTCTGAGACAGAATTCAGTCTGAGGGGTCGACATACGGATACTGTGAGCAACAATAGCTCAGCAACATCTCGCATTTCGACCGCATACAACATCGACGAGACTGCATCTAACCTTCCACCTGCTCCCCCTCTGTCCCTCAACGAAACGGAGGCCCGATGTCCCTATTGCCATCTCGTCTGCCCTGCCAGGGAATTGCAACACAGTCGCTAGAGGTGATAGTTATCAAATTTATACGGAAGAAGACATTTGACTAACATCCGACTCAGGAAGCATATAATAAAAGACCTCCAACCTTACATGTGCACTCGGAATGACTGCCCAGATCCAGACGCCATGTATGGGACTCGCTCCGCGTGGTTGAGCCATGAGGCCCAGATCCACAGGAAGACCTTTCGTTGCTTTGAGCACCCAGAGAATTTCTCGTCACGAGACTCCCTCGAACATCACTTCATATCATCACATCAAGAACTCGGGAGAGGCCAAATTGAAGCAATGCTAGATTTGGGGCAGGCTAGTTATCAAGAAGAACGAACCTCATGCCCTTTTTGCCTGTCGACTGGGCCATTTTTCAGAGGCCTTTTCAATCATATGACTTACCACCAAGAGAGGCTCGCATGCTTTGCTGCGACGGCGCAGTCTCTCAATCAGGACGACGGTCTTTACGGCGATACAGACTCGGATAAAGCCCAGGGAGACGATGACCCAGATGCTTTGCAATTGCTTGACTCTGATATTTCTTCATGGGGTTCCAGTTCAAGCAAAGGCTCGGAATCATTTCCAATACAGAAAAAGGAGATTTCTGTATCTCTTGGAAGAGAAATACGCCAAGCCATGGTACACTCAGTTGAACCGGATGATGATTCCGATCCAGAACCATCTACAAGCTTGTTCTCGTCGAGGTACCTCCCGATGGACCAATTGAATCGCATTATAAACCACGAGGCAATCCTGAAAGAGCTAAGAAGACTCGACTTGTTCGAAGAGTCAGAACTGTCGAGGAGAGCCATGGATATCCAGGGAAATATAGACTTCAAGCGGCATACCAAACTGGGCCCTGGTCCAACTGATTCGACAGGCATTTCCACTCCGTGCCCAACGCGGAAGAAGATTTTTGCTATTCTTGCTCTAATGGGGAAAGTACCCGCTATCGCCGATGTTTGCGATGAGGGTCTGTCAGATGAGGACCTGCCATTGGAGTTGGACCCTGACGGCTTGAGGCTAGTCAGGAGAAACGGGACGTCTTCAGAACCTATCCAAGCATTCATCAACTGGAGGGAACACGAGTCCGACATGTTTGATTCCTATCAATGGAACATGTTAGCACCGTACTTTGTTCTCCCTGGCGATGATGATCCGAGGGTTATGCAGTACACAATGAGCTACATGATTCCGCTCCCGTTCAGTGTTGCCGAAACCATCCCAGATAGCGCCTCAAGTCCCGTGCATAGATACCTAGGTATGGAGAAGATCGAAATTCATCACGCTCACCATAGCCAAGGAAATCCCAAGGTAAGCCATCTTTCAATCAAAAGTCAGCCGATACTTGGCTTATCATCAGTTCTTCAGCGTTCGAATCAGAATGTCTTCGCTGTTAAGGTTCTGCGAGATGTTGAAGCCGCAGAATATGATTTGAGATTCAAGTCTTTGCTCAAACTGGCTAAGAAACGTCATCCTCACGTGCTGGAACTCCTTCTGGGCCTGACGCATGGTTGCACAAGGTCTTTTATTTTCGGGTGGCCTGACTGTGACTTGGAGCAGTTCTGGGCCAGCAACTCTCCCGGCGTTGATGCAGTTGACATGGCTACATGGATCTCAGCACAGCTATTTGGTTTGGCTGATGCCTTACAACTGATCCGAGACTTATTCCCGTCAGGGGTACTGGGAGAGAAACAGCCGCCACATAGAGATCTCAGCCCAGAGCGTATTCTATGTTTTGAAACCAAAGGGATCACTCAGTGCATACTCAAGATTGCAGACTTTGGGTCTATGCAGTACCATGACGACCAAGCCCATCATCAACGAGGCTATGATATAGGCATTGACTCGGCCTACCGCGCTCCAGAGCTACTAACCGGTGAACTTGCTCCGAACTCGGATCTATGGTCTTTTGGATGCATCATCCTGCACTTCATAGTCTGGTCGCATGGCGGCTGGGCACTGGCGAATTCATTATCAGCTTCGACCTCCGCCGAGGAAGGAGAAGGTTCTGATGATGATAAGTTTTTCAAGTATTCAAACTTGAATATCACCCGTCAATGCCTAGTTCCCCAGGCTTTAACTGAAAGAGACACTGGCTGTGCAGTGATTAGCCGGGGCAACAATCTACCTAATACTGTCGTATTGAAAGAATCTATAAAACAGGTATGTTGGAATGCTTGAGAGCTATGTGCATCATTCACTTACAAACACCAGGAAATATCAAAATTTCTTGATCAAGGTAATAGTCAGTTTATTCGCGATATCATCGGCCTAGTTAAGAGAGACCTTCTTCGAACACATGCTGGGGATCGGGCAAGTTGCAAGGCAGTTCGAGACTACTTGAAAGAACTGCATAAAAGGTGCAACGAGAGTCATTCGTACTGTGTAGGTACACTTTCAAGTTGACGGAATAAAATAAATCCATGGCGATGATTAGATTTGGAAAGCTCAGCCCAGCTATACGCTACCAGGTTCAGCCAAGACTCTTCCAACTTGACATACATAGATAAAAAAACATAGAACCAAGATTCAGGGCCAGTTGCTGAGAGCTTATATTATCACAGCGAACTTGAAGAGATCATAATCACCCACCTCCAGTTAGGGCAAGTTGTGAATGGATTGATTCAGACGATCAACTGGACAAGGCAGCTTGCAAATACTCCCAATGCTGTTCCTTTGCCTCAGTTCGTAACTTATTGGCATCGACATCAGATTGGGCATGCAAAGTAGGACATCGCTTTTGACACAAGGGCTTACTCAGTGCAGATAACCATTCGCCGTGATTTCATGTGCCGATGCAAGACCAGTGCATCATCGCCGAGGAGCTTTGCCCCCCAACTCGGAACATTGTAAGTGACTGATTGTGTGTGATGCGTGATTTTGTTCATACTTGAGAGTGATTGGGTTTTACATTTCGAGAGTGATTGACAGGACGACACATGTATGTCATTCGCAATGCATCCCAGAATGTTGAAATGTTCCCAGAAACCTCCAACTCCGCGGATCCATATTTTATTCAAGCTTTATATCACTACTGATTATATGTAATCACTAAGAAATGTTTTGACTCACTCGACTGGGAAGATGAGGACATGGAGTGTTTCAATAGCACAGAACCAAAAGTATAAGTCAGCAATGGTATTGGGAGGCGGCAACGATGTTGGGAGGCAGCAATAAAGAAAAGAAAGAAAAGAAGAGATAATGGGTTGCATACTTCTGTGCAAGTCAGGAGGTCGTACGTCAAAGGTTATCAAGACGGATTTCAATAAAGAAACAATTCGTTGTTGCAGTCTGTAATCGTTTCTTGGGATAATCAGCCAAGCTCATTTTTTTTTTTGGTACATCATCTTTATTATCTATCTCTCCCCTGATCCTACATTTATCCCATCATCCACTTCCCAGTATCCCAGTATTCTTTTCCTTTATTCACTCACGCAAGCTTCAATCAGAAGGTATCTTCTTGAGCGAAGAATCGCTTGGCCCATCGGAGCTTGGAAGCAGCTCGCTTGGCGTTTCCTCCGAATCCGCCAAAGCCACCACCGCCGAATTGTCCTCGGCCTTGGCCTCCGCGGCCACCCTGGTTACCGCCGTTACCTCCCTGGTTGTTACCGCCGTTCTGGCCGCCTTGACCACCATTGCCTTGTCCGTTACCCTGGCCGTTACCGTTGCCCTGACCTTGGCCGTTTCCTTGGCCTTGTCCGTTACCGCCATTGTTACCCCCGTTGTTACCCCCGTTGTTACCCCCGTTGTTACCCCCATTGTTACCTCCATTGTTGTTGCCGCTACCGCCGTTATTTCCGCCATTGTTTTTATCGTTGTTGTTGCCGTTACCTGCATCGCCTGTCTGGGTAGCCGCAGGAGGTCGCCCAAGAGCAACAGAGGGTGTCTCAGTAGCAAAAGCCGAAGTGACGACAGTGTTTCCAAGAAGAGCATCAACGGCAGCCTTGTTCTGCTCAGCCTCGTCGTTGGTGGCGTTCTCATTGGCCTTGACGGAATCAGGGAAGTCCTTCTGGTTCTGGAGGACCTGAGCGTTGATAGCCTGGAGTTGCTGAGTAGTCTTGATGTTCTGAGGAGTGTTGGTCTTCTTGTCGGTGTCGGCCTGTTGGACGGCGAAGCAGCCACCGAAGGGTCCAGCGAGGGCATTGTTGCGGCATCGGACGGTGCAGATGTTACCAGTGGAAGCTATTTGTGTTAGACATCATTGACTTGTTATGAAACTTGAATGTGCTTACCTCCAAAGCAGTTGAGGTCATCAGGCATCTTGACGGTGATGTTGAAAGCCTGAGTCTTGACCTGAGAGAGACCGTTTGATCCTGGAACGTTATTTGTAACGGTCAAGTTCTGAACCTCTTGTTAGATCATGTTTATCTGTTATGTTTCAGCAAAGGACATACCTGAATGTTGGTGTTGGTGTTGCTGCTCTCATCGAGATCACAAACGTATGGGCCAGCACCATCGGCGTTGACCTGATGAATGGTAACGGTGAGCTCACCACCAGCCTCAACCTGAGTAACCTTTCCAGCAGAAATGGCGTTCTCAGTGTTCTCTCCGACATCGATGTTACCGGACAGCTCAGTGCGGCCACACTGGTTGACGATGTTGGCAGTGATCTCTGCATCACGAATGATAGTGGCATCCTGTTGGCAAGGATTGATAGTGATACAGTTGCGGGCGATCTCGGGATCAACTGATGATCTGATTAGTCTCTATCTAATCATTAACTCGGAGTATCATGCTTACCTTGGAATCCTACACTAGCAGGGGAAGTGTCGAGACCTTGGGCATTGAGAATGACAGAGTGCCCATGAGCCAAAGCAAAGAGGAAAGGAAAGAGAATGCTCTTGAAGGAATGCATCTTGACAGTCAAAAGATAAGTTTAGAAAAAAAATGTGCCGGCACAAAGAATAGTAAAGTTGAGAAGAGAAGAAGAAAGAAAAAAACGATCACCAGGACCTAGAAGAGAAGACTTTTGCTGTAGAAGCTGAAGCTGATGATGACAAGGCAAACAAAAGTCACTCCGTCGTAAGTCGTACGAGTATATATACATTTTTCGCATCCGAAAAACTGTTGATATTTTAATGTCAGGTTCGCTGGCGAGGGTTTCTGCTACGGCCCCTGTATCAAAAACAAAGTGGAGTTTGTGTGAAGGGGGCACGTTTAAACGCCCAGGGTCGTGTAAGCGGGCCGACCTGAGTGGGTTCTTGCTCGCTTCAAAGGCGACACATGTTTCATCGAATTCTTAACAAGGTTACTATAGACGGACTGTTTGGGGGGGCATATGCTGCATTGTTAAGATTTACTGCTGGGAACGGGCGGATATATTGTCTCAAAGCACTTGTATTTCCGATGATAATCGAATGATGATCATATCACTTGGCAATAGACTTTTTGTTAATGCAGGAACCGAAGGTAACGATGTAATCTTGAGTGGTGTTTCGTGAGGGGCTGGTTTAAAACGCAGAGATATTGGCATGCATTTTCAGCTGGGACCAAATACCGGAAATTTGCTTACATCGAGATTGATAACCACCCGAAATTCAACTCGTATGAATCCTCCGTCTCTTGGCCCTCACACACTTCTTCAGTCCTCTCGACAGTGCTGGTCGCAGCCAAGTCAAGTCTACGTGTTTTGCTCGCCGATGGGCGCGCGTAGTTCGATACAGTCAAGGTAGCACCGTAGCAGTTAAGGTTTGTGGTCTGCGGAGCCGCAAAATAAGGAGCATTGATGGCTTTAGTAACCGCTTTAGGACAGACTCCGTGTTGTTGAGCATGTAAAGTATTACTAACTAACAGAACCATCTAACAAGAAAATATAGAGGAAATCAGATGTGATTAATCTCTCATTCAGGACTCTTGGGCTCATCTGAGATGGCGGCATTTAGCCAGAACAGATAAGGTTGCAACATAAGCTTAAATCAGTGCCGGAATATCGGCCCTCTGCATTAATCCGAATTATCATACGACTTCAGCTTTTGGTATGCGGAAAGCAATGCTGATTTGACTCAAAAGCTCAGTGGGTCTCTCAAAAGAGGTTGCTGGAAATCGAGAAGCATAGGATGTGTCTTCAAGTCTTGATAAGTCCGCCAGCAACCATTTCGGCCGAAGTTTCGCGCGAGTTTAATTTTAGACTTTGGGTGACTGGCCGGCGGTATTCCGTCTCAACTCTCATTGGCTGACTCGCATCGCCAACTCGACTTAACACGAGATCATCAAGCAGCGCCTCTCAAGGCTTGCGTGACCGATCCTTCAGCCTTTCGTAATTATAATCTCAGTACCAAGGAATAATAGAAGCCCAGAGGGATGAAGATTTTCCAAATTTCGGGGCTTTTACTCACTTTCTGGGCTATTGATCACATTAATAGCGCTTGTTGGTGTTATCGCGCTGATAAGCGGAGCCTGGAATTATGGATCCCTATAGCGTAAATTTCTTGCGTACGTAGGGTATTCTGAATGATTATCCACCATCAGCACATTGAAAAACAATATCACTGATCCTTTACTGCAATTTGAAAGTAAGAACATCTATTTGGTGTATTATACTAGGATACCTGGATCCCTTTCAGGGTTTACTCTGGTCCGTCGTGGCGCAGGGCGAGACGTCAGCAGCAACCATTTCAGTATAGAATCAACAGCTGCATTGCTACCACAATACTTCACCGTCATCGTAAGTCAACGATAGACTGAGATTTCTATTTTTCAAACATCAAACACAGTAGTATCTTCTTCCTGCCTAAACTCTCTTGATCCTGCTGTAGACACAACTATGAAGATCTCCATGAAAAGAAAGAACTACAGCAAAAATAGGGTTATGCTGCCGCGTCACCCAAAGAGTTACAGTATTTCTTTCTTCCATCTGATTGTAAATCGCCTTTAGGTAATAATCATGGCTCTAATCCTTTGGACCAATGTATCAATGATTATGAGAAACCAAAGAGCTCCTCAGTTAACCGTATCAACCTTCTCTGGAACAACTTGATGCACATTGTCACTATGCACTTCCTTGCTATTTTCTCCTTGGATGAGGCCGCCATGGCTGCTCCTCCGATTGTCCCTCGTGGAGCCGTCGCGAGCACAGTTGCAAGAATTGCCTCTAATACTGACTACACCTCCTCAATCTTTTCAACAGTTTCTCAGCTAGCCTCACCAAATCCTAGCTGAAAGATCTACTCAATGATCCCAACGTCGATTTCATCGAGAAGGTCTCCACCATATATGGAGCATCAACCCAGAAAAACGCACCCTGGGGTCTAGCCCGTATTTCCAACAAACTACGAGGCAAGGATCATACAACTTTCACCTATGACGAAAGTGCCAGTGAAGGCACATGCACTTATGTTCTCGACACAGGCATTGAAGTCGATCACCCTGTCAGTACCTTTTTATGCAAGGCGGTAAATTGAAACAAGCTAACCCAAAGAACAGGAATTCGAGGGTCGCGCCAGATTCGTGCAGTACTTTGTTGATAACGCTGATTTGGATGCTAATGGTCATGGGACTCATATTGCGGGCACCATTGGGTCTAAAACGTATGGTGTCGCAAAGTAGACGCAGCTCTTCGCTGTCAAGGTCCTAAATGAGTATACAGCGGGTCAGACGTGAGTTTATTCATCTTTTGGGAAGCATGTGAGTTTTACTGAAAATAATTCGCCGCAGATCGGGAATTCTCGCTGGCATGGATTTCATCGTTGAGGATGCTGCTACTCGGAAGTTACCAAGGGCATTGCGGTCAACATGTCTCTTAGTGCTGCCTCTTCACCCTCTATTAACGCAGCTGCTCGATACATCGTCAAATCGGGTTATTTTCTCGCTGTCGCAGCTGGCAACGAGGACACGGACGCATCCCACGTTTCGCCAAGGAGCAACCGCCCAGAACGATACGAGCCTCACTCTCCAATTGCGGTGTTTCTGTTGACGTGTTTGCCCCTGACGTTGATATCAAGAGTACCTGGATCAAAGGAGGTGTCAAGCTCGAGTCAGGCACACATCGACCGCAACACCACACGTCACTGGCCTCGCGGCTTATCTCTTGGGCCTCAAGGATAGCAAGGCATCAGAACTATGCAACTTTATTGTAACCATGTCTCTGAAAGACGTCATCAAGGGCATTCCTGAAGACACGGTCAACCTGTTAATACAGAACGGCGAAGCGAAGTAAGCGCACCTATCAATGTCAGGGTCGGGCCATAAGGCCATTACGGCCGAAGGGAACGACTCGAGTCAGTTTCACGCGTTTCATAGTCAATACACGAGCATGTCATTGTTTTAAGCTTCTCGAAAATGGTTATTTTGGCGAAAAAGCCACAGCCGCCTGTCACGCCCTATTCGGCTATTTCCGACCATACATCGAATGATAATCCCACCAATAACTTCTCAGAGGTGAATGACATGCATTTAGACGCCAGAGTCTAGAAACACTTCTCTCACAGTTCGATCCGACCTTACCGGCGTGGCAGCTCTTGGCATCGGACGGTTTGTAGTTTCGTTTGTGTTTTGATTCCTTATCTGCTGTGATTCGGTTGGCTGAAAAATAATCTGCTTGTAGAAATATGGAAACGTGTTTTACTAGGGTGGCTGGCGGGTGTTTCAAGGGGGTTATAGTATTCTGCCTGAATGTTATATGTGGTTTTTGGGTGGGAATAACTCGCTAAAAAATTGTGAAACTCTGCGGATGAGATTGCGCTTTGGGATACGATTTCATGTAACCTCGGCAAAGCTGAGGTGGGATAAGGTTAAGCTATCTTGGGATCAAAAATTAACGAACAATATTCGGTGGGATATATGAATAGATTAGTAAGTAACCAGATCGACAGCATGCCAGTCTGGGTTATGGAGTTTACTATTCCTTCAAGGATGCCAGTAAGGTCTTTTCCCACATTTATGATACAGCAAAGAATAAAACTGCGACACTTGGTCGGAGGACTTTGACCTTAATTATATATTACTAGACATTCTTTGGACATCTTTAGCCCTGTATTAGGTAGGGACATATGGAAGGAAACTTTCGTGGTGTCCTTTTACCTTTGTGCCATGGGGACTGAAGCCTCTTTTAAAATCCTAACCTTACGCCAGTCACTGTATCCTGAAACCTCAGTAATAATTGTCTTTTGATAACAAAGAAACTAATGTTATTTGATCGCTCTTTGGCAGCCTAAAAACTCTGTGAAAACGTTGATTTCTTGTTGCCTTACAGGCAATCTTCCAACCAATAACATGATTCCCCCCTTATACTTTTGAAAGTGTAACCTATCATTTTCAAGTTACGACCCAATAGCTTGTACCACTATCTCACGCTACTGCTAATGTGCTACAACCTTGGTACACGATTTGTCAGTTCTTCACGCCGACTCGTGTGTGAGGCGCGTGATGTGAGCCATCAGCTGTGGGGACTATCAACTCAAAATAACACTCTTATGAAAGTCACGCCGACTCAATAGGCATCGTGGCACGGCGTACGACATTTGTATCAGGACCTAGACTTGTTGTTTGCGCTCTACAACTATTGCCGAGATCTGCTATTCACCGCCAAGGGTTTAAGAAGTAGGATTAAACTCCAGGGTACCCTCTCGAGAAGTATAAGGCGTGCTGTTCTGATTTCGGCTATGTGGCTTGGTACTTATCTCCAAAGAGTAAGGTAACCATAATATGAAAGCATAGATCGTCACTGAACCTTAATGAAAAAGTATTCGCAACACAAATAACTCAAAATATAGTTTGATGACAATCTCTGCCTATAAAGTCAAGACGTGGCTGACTTATCGTCCTCTTCCTCTTTAATCCTTTCACGTTCTTTAAGGAATAATCGACCTTGAACAAAAACAACCGCGTCTGCACCCCACCTCTAAACATCTGCTCATAATGAAGGCGGTTGAATCTAAGGACCTCGAAAGCCTTGTGAGGCTCAACTCGATTCTCATTTTCAATGTTGGCTGTTGGGGCGTAAGCTACCTTCGCAACATCCTTTCTCACGGACCTGAGCACATCACAGCAAAGCAAAGCAACAAAACCCTTCCGACCGAACTATGGTTGGAGATCCTAAATCTGGCAGAGATCCGTATCAATAAGAACACCTACAAGCTAGTCTATGGCATCGAAATAACTGAGAAGTCTACGAACGGTAGCACGATCGAGCCTACTTTGATCTGCAACGTTCTTGAAGAGTGGAAGGACTGTGGAGAGCTCGAGAGTGGTGATCACGTCGAGGTTTATGAAAAATGCCTCAAGGATCCTTCGTACGAGATCGACCCTGAGAAAGATCGAGTGGAAAAAGATATCGAACCCTTTTTCAAAATCACCAAGACTGCTCTGGAAAATGCATACAGGATCCCAGTTTCTCATCTGCGCTTCCAGGGGGATTTCCTCTTTCACAACATCGAGGTCCCGGATATAATTGCGCGACTCGAGTATGGATTCTGCAATTTGTGTATTAACGGCCGGTCTTTGGACATATATCTGTATGATGCACGAGACAGAGCCAGCTTTTTCTGTGGGGCAGTACTATCGCATGGAAGTTGCGGCCACGACGCTATCTGCCCACTGTGCTTGGGATACGAATATGCGGACGAGTATCTTGATGTCATGTACGGAAAATGCGCGGATCGGTATAGCGATGAGGAGGAAGAAGAAGAAGAGGAGGACACCGAGGAAGAAAAGATGGCAAAGGAGAGGTTCAAAAAGAGGCTACAAAAGCGATATCAGGACCTAGGATACGGGTCTTGGGGATATTGAGTTCTGAAGCTGTCAGCGACAGGCTTCAAATTGAACAATGCGTGGGGTTCGCTAGGTTCAGGGGTTATCCATGATGAGGACTTTGAATGTCGTAGCGCAACAATTCGTGGGGGAAGGGTCGCGTTAATCCCGCGTTGACTTCGGACCATATATACCGATCATCCAACTTATAACTATCTGGTATCGTCACTCAGGAGTCTATTGCGGCTTTAAGAACATTGTGGACCGTATGTAGTCATGATATTGGCACTAATAAACTAAGATCATCCCGCCCAGTATCACTCTCAGCCAATGGAAGGTGTCGCTTGTTGTTTCCCAAACGGTGCAAGGCTTCGTAGATCACCGTTGACCAATTACATGGGCGACGAGACTACGTGTTATCATCAAATTCCCTCCGTGTACTCCGTACTCCGTAAGCGAACAAGTGTTGACCCTTGACAGCTGTACAGGCAAATCTGGCAAGGTCGATCAGCACTCACGCCTAGCTTCGGCCCCAGACTTTCATATGACTGATATCTGATGTTCGGTGCCAAAAGACTCGCGAGTGACGATGTTCGGTACATTGAAAGAGAGTGTGATCAGAACCAATCTATTGGGTATAGTAAACTTGGGCCCCATTTCTTGTTACATGATTCCATTCGCTTAACATATTGTACACGTATACGAAAGAGAGAAGTTATCCCGAATAGATTTCTATAATTTACACCTTAACTTCACAGCAACCTCTTAAGCCTCGCACGAAAATGGTGTACGGAAAGCTCCGATCTCATAATGATGTTGCTGCAGTACGCGTCAGTCAGAAATCCTGAGTAAAATAGACAGAAGACTTACGATATCCAGAGCTGTGGCATATGTTCCTCCAATGAGAACCAAAAGGCCGAAGAGAAAGGTAAAAATGCAAGCGACAGCATGAAGAATATTCTCTCTAGCATACCACTTGCCTCTGCAAATAAGCTTGTACCACATAACTGCTGGGAAATACAGAATAAATCCGGACACGAAAAGGGCGGAGCTGAGTGAGAGAAGATCGTTGAAGAAGGGAATTGCCTCGCCGAGAACCCAAGAGATGATTGTAATGCCAGCCAGAGTGAGAAGCCAAGTAACCCAACCCTTGGGCGTATTGACAAACCGAACGATCGAGTTTTTGTAGAATCTCAGATGAACATATTTGGCTGTGACGGTATTGCCAATGGCACCCGAGATGAAGATCATGGGGAGAGCTACGCCAAAGGCCACTTTTGGTAGAATACCAGGTAAAGACTGAAGAGCGGGACTGGCCACATCCTTGCCAACGAAGACATAGATAAGCGAACCGCTGAGGGTGTAGATAAAGATCTCGACACCTCCAAGAGTCCAGACAGACTTCATAAAGTCCTCTGGTGTATGCATCTCATCCATGAAAGGAGTCATGTACATGGCAAAGCAATAAGCAAAGATGATGTTGCAGATAGCCACCATGCCGTCCTTGAAAGAAGCATCAGGGTCAGGCCAAGCAGACCAATCGGAAGCGCCAATACCACCGGGCTGGTTGGAAGCATTCACACCTGATGCAATGACTGCAATACCAATGGCTGTCATGATGCAGACCAGGTCGATGTAACCCAAGATAGCGGCCTCGGCAAACGAAGGCATTATAGCTAGGATGAAGAGCATGAAGCCCGACACAGCGCTAAAGATAAGACCGCAAACTTTATCATCGGCCAAGATGTTCAGGGCGATGCTGCCAGTGAGGACGAAAGAGGCCGTGATGAGGATGAGTTGCAGCACATACATAGCGCCAAACAACTCCTCGCCAAACCTGCCCATGAGCAAGCCACCAATGTCTCCATAGTGTTTAATCGAAGGGTACAAGACTTTAATCTTTCCGATGATCCAAGCGGTGTATATAGCCATAAAGCCCAAGGCAATACAGCAGAAGACACCCGCGACGATGCCGAGGGTCGCAAAGGCACCTGGAAGACTGAACGTCCCAAGGCCAATGGCCTCAACGATGAGGATGACAGCGAGTCGCTTCCATCCTAGACGACGGAAGCGAGCTTCTCCTTCAGCGGTTTTCTGTTTCTCGAAGTCGGTTACTGTGCCGACGGCTTGGTCGTAGGTATGGTCGATGCGAGCGATCTGATCCGGATCAAGGGTAGAGTCTTTGTTGGTCGCGTTCTTGGACGCGGTCTGTGGTGTAATGGTATCCATGATGAAGTCTCAGCCCCTAGTCCAAATGATATAACAACAAGAGCAACAATAATGATGAATAAAGAACAAGTCAGAGCTGTCAACTCTGCCCTTCAGAAGAAAAGAAAAGCAAGCAGAGATACAGATTTAAAAGGCCGCCAAGGTCTGGGGAATCTCCTCTTCTCCACGCTGGGGTAACAATCCACCAGCAGAAGTTGTACGTAAAAGCAGTTGATAGCGAGGATTCCATTACACAAGACG